CTGTTTTACATTGTGTCAGAGTGACAATATAGTTGACTTGAATAACTTTTTCTTCACTCACTGCATTGTATTGCTGTTCATATGAATTATTGAAAGACATTAATATTTCTGATAGTTTTAAGGAGAAACATTGATCACTTAAGCAATTATATATATATATATATATTTGTTGAGCTTGACCAGTAGCGTTAGCAGTAGTGTTTTTATTGCAAAAAAAAAAAAAAACAACCCATGGTTTAATGGAGGCCTAGTCATTGCATGTTGCAGTGCAATAGCTCGGTCACCAATGTTGTTGTTTTTTGCCAAAAAAGAGGAATTCTTTATATATGTCAATATCTACTTTAGTTATATAACCATATGATTACTGTACAATACTTCATAATTATAGTATGTTTCTGTAGTGGATTTATTGTAAAATTGGTAATAGTTAATTATTAAAGTTTGCTACTTAGGCTACCTATTCAACACACACTGTACACACATTCACATGAAACTTAAATTCATTAAAACATGAACCCAAAATAAGACAATTAAGTATACATTTTTTATAACAAGTGACAGTAAAATCTTTATTTTGTAATATGGCTTCCAGTGAACTAGATAAAGAATATGAGGAATGTATAAAACAGATATTGTCATGGCGGCATGTCTCAGTTACTGCTTGTCCAGCCACAACAACAACAACTATTCTTTCACGACTGAATACTGCGCCTGTATGAACCCTCCCAGTCTCTTCATTCACGGCCCATACAAACAAATAAATACAACCAATTATTTATAAATGCAAACAAACAAAACAATAACTTACATTTGAGTACATTTTCCACAGATATTTGAATGTCACTCTAGTAACATGTTAGTGTGAGGATTGAAAATCCTTTTGCCCCCTCTTTGTGTGTGTTTATTATTTCATGTCAGTGTGCAATTGTGGTCATGAGGTGATCCCTCAGTGGTCTATTGTGAACGAGCAGAGGCTGGACATTATGACGATGACCCACTTAGACCACTTTACATTGAGTTTGTCTTCAGTTTAGGACTAAAGGTTACAGCATTATACAGGGCTTGCATTTCTTTGATATCAGCCAGCCTGTTATAGACTCGAGATGTTGGGGTATGTGTGTTAAACTACCTTGGATAATGACGTTATAGGTCAAGTTATAGGTGTTTGACATTAGATAATAAAGTATACAATAATTAGAGGGGATTTAAAAAAACAATAATCTCTTTAGCACCTTTAAATCCTGTTTTTGATTCGAATTTTGCATTTGCTAGTAGAAAAATTCCTCAAGGCCAAAGATTGTATTTGATATTATTAGTCAGGCCTGTAAGTCATTTTTATTAAGGGCAGGCTATGTATTATTAACAGTGTTATATTTTGTTAAACGCTTATCTGTCCCTTCAAGGTCCACTTGCAGTATTTTCACCCAGTTGCAACAAATTTAGTCACAAAGTAGAAATTCTCCAAATTTTGCCGTGATAAACTTTGATCTTAGTGGGCGTTAGCTTGTTCCCTCTTGTGTCTCTGTGACCGTGACATATTAGTCACAACCATGATAGTTCATTTTGACTTGTACTAGTTCATTATGATGTGTCTTTCTCACAATTATTACAGGATTGTAGACTTATAACCTTTTGGCCCAAGTCCAAATGGAAATCCTCATGTGTATTTGGAGGTAGCAGTGTGGCACATACAGCTAGACCAGTGATGGTCCCTGTGATTTGCCCAAAGTGTTTAATGCCTTTTTTGCCTTATATTAATGGTTATGTAATATTGCATTTGACTCAGACCCATCCCACACCATATTGAAAACTAGTAGGTGCAGGGCATGTGAGTTGTCTTCATGCTTTTTCTATAATTTTTATTTGTTTCTTTTAATTTGGATGCCTTGAAAATGGAACAGCTTTGTCCAATGGCCTCAACTAAAATGGAGGTAAATATTTCCCCCAGTTAGCCATATTACAATAGGTTATGCCCATAGCATTTAGTATACTGTATGATATTTTTTATGCTATTTAAATTCATTTGAGGCATCATCACCGGTTATGTTACTCGTGTTGATTATAATAGTTTTCACATTGTGTAATCCTTTGGTTTTTAAGTGATGTATTATTTATTTCAAAGCGAGATCATGTTTTCATTTTTTTTTTGTAGCAGCAGTATTATCATGTCGATAATATAACCTATTTTTTTTATATCGATGTCCCTTTGCTCTGAATATGCCTGTAAACATTGTATAGTGACTCTTTGAAGTACTGTAAATGCAATAGCAGAACTGGTCCCAAAATGAGTTTGAGGTTTCAGTTGTGTGTCACACACACTCTTTGTGTTGTTAGCTTATTTCAATGTGCCCACAAAGTTATCGAAGGGCCTCTAAGATTCAAAGAAGTTGGTTGATGTAGTTACTTTCAAGTACCGGTAGTAGCTTGAAGGCAAAACAAGACGAGTCACTTGGCTGTTTTATTATCAAGAAGCCTGAATGTTGGGGCGTTTGCTTTTGATTTCATAGCTTCACTTGCTGGTAAACCGATGGGTATGAAAAAAAGCTTTTCGGGCCTAACTCAGGCCTCAGTTTGTGTGTTTGTTTGCTCAGCGAGATCAGAGGCAGAGGACTCTCGATTCTTGGTGGGTGTGTATAGTGTGTGTCCTTTTGTAAACGATCATTTAGATGCGAAACACAGAAATGAAAATCTTGATCTGAGTGTCAATTACAAAGCTATCTGCTAAGAGGAACACAGCGCCAGCCGAGCTCTCTGATGCCAAACAGCCAGAGCTCTTCATTGTAAGCTCTTCTTAGTACTACATGTGCTGCCAGGCCTGCTCCTATCTGACGTTACCAGGGCAAATGCACTTGTTATGGGGACTGGCTCTGTATACCACCATTTAAAGGGCTTGATGTATTTTATTTTGCTAAATTCATGCTATGAGATGACTTGCATATTGCTTTTGTGCTGTAATCTTTCATGTACAAATGCAATATAACAATCTAAAGCTGTACTGCACGTCTAAGCACACTTTGTAAAGAAGAAAATTAAAAATTTGTTTTAAAAAATGTCATCTTTAGTGCCAATTAAGAGTCAGACATTCAGCGCCTTTAAGACTGACCAAATAATAAATTAGTAACATCTTATGAATTGTAAATTGTGCAAGAAAAAATGTGTAGTTTAGTTAATATTGTATATTGGTTGTATATTCAAGCGTCCTGTTCTTTATTTTGAAATATAGTGACACAAGTACAATTATTTACACTATTTTGAATACATTTTCTTGAAATATTGTATTTTGTAGTATATTGAGCATAGATGCTTTCAGGAGTACACTCAGTGCACATGCACAAAGATGAAAACTAAATGTCAGATTGTTTTCTTCTATCCCATTGGGCAGATCTTGTGTGTAGAAGTGTGCTTTCACACACACACACACACACTTATGTGCTGCTTTGCCCCCTTTGCCTGTTACTCTTGTAAAAGCAAATGAAATTATGGGAGCAGCTTCCCCTTTCTGTGGTAGGAAGTGAATGTTTCTCTGCTAACTTCTGGCATACGAAGTTACAGGGAACAACGCATCTAGCTGCAGCCTCGTAAAAATACACTAATCAGACTAACCCCTTCACGTCACCGGGGTATGTCCTTTTGGTTATCAAATAAATGATTTTGTTTCTTGGTTGAGTATGCTTTATTTTGTTTAATCTAGGTACACATGTTCATTGTAATGTAACGGTCAATATAAATTACTTGAATGTATAAATTAACTTTATTCGGATGGGCTTCTAGGTTTTATTACCCTACATATTCAGTCACTGTGAGACAGTTAATATTGAGACAATTTCATGAAAACCATCATTGAGCTTTAGACCTTTATGAATGTGCTATTGGTATAGTTCTTCTCATTAGTAAGTTACAGTTTTAAACAAAATAATGAATTTATAATTATTTGTTAGTGTAAAATAATTTTTGCTCCCACTTTATATTAAGTGGCTTTAAGTACTATACGTACTTGCATCGGAAAATAAGTACAATGTACTTATTGTGTTGATGTTGTATTGTAAAACACTTTTGCTGCTATTGAGGAGTGATACGGGTAAGGTTAGGGACAGGTGTGGTGGTGTGGGTCGGTTTAAGGGTGAGTTAAGGTGTAAGGGAAGGGTCAACTGTGTAATTACATGCTGGTATTTTTCAAACATAAGTACAATGTAAAAACATGTATGTACACAATAAGTCCATTGTATCAAATTATTAATTTCAATGTAAGTACATTACTTAAAGCCACTTAATATAAAGTGGGACCTCATTTTTAGTTGTTGATGTTTCTCTCAGTAATTAGGCCGAAATGATGATGTGTGTTTTTTTGTTTCATTGCTTGAACATCTGTGTGCTTTCAAGATATCCTGTAAAAGTTTGCTAGTTTTTCAAAAAGTGTGCCAGTATTAGAACAAGGTTTACATTTATATTTTTTGTGTGCATTATTAAAACTTACTTTGTGACATTTGTCCTTTAGTTTAGATATCCTTTGTATTTCTAAAGGAGACGCATGTTGTTACACACACACACACACACACACACACACACACTATATATATATATATATATATATATATATATATATATATATGTGTGTGTGTGTGTGTTTATATATAATTAAACCACAGATTTTGTGCTTCATAGCCTTGGTGGTGTTCCGATGTTATTTGTTGGGGATGGTAGAAATAACACACACACACACACACACACACACACACACACAGAGAGAGAGAGAGAGAGAGAGAGTCACAAACCATGACACGTAAGAATTTTTCTTCAAACTAGATTATGCTGCATTCATTTAAATATTTTGTATTTTAAATATGTATATAAGCACATAATTACACCAGTCCAGTAAAATAATACACTGCATGCTATACAGATGGTACACTTTTGTATTTTTTACCTGAAATTATATTTTAAGAAACATAAGAGCCAAAATTTGTGCTTCATAAATATCCCTTTATTTTTGTTTTCTCCAGGAAAGGAATGTAGAGCACACGGCATGACAGTGAGCTGTGACAAAGTCAAGTAAATGTAAGTACACCACTGACTGAAGTTTTAACTATATTATTGGGTGTAAAAATACAGTGTAAGGAACAGGCGGATTTCTGATATGCATAAAAGAAAATGTATGGAAAAACTCATTTTTCTATATCCTCATGGATTGTCTAACAAAGAAAAAGCAACAATAAAGTGAAAGGCATAGAGACAGAGCAAACAACACAAGTAAATATTATTATGTGGGAGGTTACAGGCTTTGTCAGGGAATGCTTTTACCCCCCCCCCCCCCCCCCATCCCATGAAAAATCCATGGGGCTCTTTTCATAACCTGTAATTTTAGCCTTATAGACAGCAGATGCTCCATTGTCCTCTTGCTTGTTACACCAAAAGTTTTTTGTCAGTATTGGCTCACCTGGTACAAAAGCACATGAGCGTATACTGAATGGAACAGAAACCTTGGGGGGTTTACAAAAACAGAACATGATAAATATTGCAAGTTAGTCATGCCTGAAATTACTGTTATTATTAGTCCAGTTATTTTGCACTTTGCACACAAGACATGTCAATTATTTCTTACACTCATCGCATAAGAGTCATGTCAAATATAGTTTGACAAAACAACAGAATGAAACCTTGTTGTTCAGCTTACTCATAAAATGCATGTCTTGACTGATTGGAATTACATCTATGAATATACATGCAAATCTTAAATTGAATATGAAAATAATTGTAGAAAAAAAAATACAACTCAATTAGACAGCTTCAGTAAATTGCTTTCTTGTATGAATACACTCAGTTTATATGTTTTAACAGTCACTAAAGGTTTGGATACAGTACACTTTTTAATCATGGTGCACACTTACCTGGCAATTGTGATTTTACCAGTGAGAGGCAGGCAGGTTGTGTAAGAATGGTGTGAATATCATGTTTTTCTCAGAACAGGTACCGTATTATCACATCTGATCAAGATTATGCAAATAGATTTTGTGCTGGGTACTTCTCCAGAAATATCCACTCATCACCATAGAAAAGAAATGTGCTGTTAAAAAAAGAAGAAAGTTAAAAAATATATACTTATATTGAGCAGGAATGTTACATTTATATAACATTTGTGAAAATAAAAGTTGTATATCTTCTAAAACAGATGCTCATTTAATTTGTGCATTTGTCAAACTCAAAGCTTTTCATGATCTAACACTTTTAAACCTGGAAAACAATGCATTTGACCTTGAAATTAGACAGCTGCATATTTTTAGGTTTCCATTTAAAACAAAAACAAAATAAATATCTTTACTTAACCCCTAAAACGTTTTAAAATATATTACACTTGTACACTTTTTCCATACATGATCTTCTCAATGACCAATTATGTCATGCTGCATGTGGATTGCAAAAAAACAAACGTGAGAAATAACAGCCCACATACTATATAAGCCGAGGAAGTCTCACGTTTTAATCAAAATCGCAGCTTGTCATTTTAAATTCCTATCTTTGATTTTAGATTATAATGTTCTGAGCAAGCATGAATTTTTGTCAATATCATTTTGACATGATTTAATTACAAAATGTAGCCATATTGACACTTATGACTCGGTGTATTTTTGTTGGTCCTGTGTTTTCAGATTGCGAAACGAGGGCCGTGTATGTGCGGCTGTGTGGGCGCGCCTCGCGTGAGTGCGTGAGCGCGCGCTCTGTGCGGGGCCTGTCGGTACTGTAGCAGCACAGAATGGTTTGTGAGTTATAACGGGGGTGCAGGCCGTACTGTGCTGCGGCAAGAACAACAGGACAGACGCACACAAACGGGTGAAAAGGACAGAAGGAAGGTGAAGTAGGCAAGAACAGCAGCAGCAGCAGCAATACCACGTGTGCCAATAAGTCTCCTGAACTTGGCCGTGTGACTGACTGGCTGCCTGGCTGTAGCAGCACGTAAATATTGGAGTCAAAGCACTAGCGAATCCTCCAGTATTGACCGTGCTGCTGGAGTTAGGCGGGCCGTTTACCGTCTGTGCTTCGGGATCCCTCTTCTCGTCAGGAAAGCGCAAGAAGACCAACGACTGACTAATAACATGCTGTCCAAATGCCGGTGTTTTTATTCTTTTAATCGTTTTAATGCATTTATTCTCTTGAGAAGTGATGACATGAAATTTTATGAAGCTGTATAATTGTTCGTGTAATTTTTTAATTGGTCAGATGCTTCTGTAAAAGTGATTTGAGCTCGTTGATAATGTATGTAAATGGGAAAATGCAATGAGAGGAAAATACAATTAAAAGCATTAAAATCACAACAATTGCATCAAACCAGATTAATTGCAGAGCCGCGCTGTGCGCAAATTGTGCAGTTTTTCAAAACTGTATTAAATCTACAGCATTTCTCAACACATTTTAACAAACAATACATAGACTGTATTAATAAGTTACCGATGACTGTTTTGGACGAAGCACATTGCTGAAGACAGTTATAAAAAAAGTGTAGTATAGTGTTAACATCATCACGTCAGTAAATCTACCTTCCATCTTTTCCACATTTTCAATAACGCAGCATCGCCATCTTCTGGGAACTTTAAATGGCTTGAGGTTTTCGGGTCGCCCTTATTTCTTTTGAGTTAAGATTTAGAGAAGTTAGATCATCCTCCTTTAGCACTTTTCGCTGGGTTTTATTCTCGTGCTTCTTTCCCTCTGTAAGGGTCGTTAACGTAGCCTATGTTTACACTCCCTCTCCGTTAAAACGCTTGGTTTTCTCCTCAGGCGACATTGAGGAAACATCCTTCAAATCGTGTCCACCATCAGGCCACGATTAAAAAAGGTTACGTTCACCCGGACCAATTGCACAAAAATCGGTCAAATAAGCAAATGAAAGATGGCAATGCGTTGTAAGAAATGCTTGTCCATGTAAAACTTGTGAGGGCACTTCGACTCGAAACACAAAGTTGACCTATAGTTGCCTTAAGGGATACGACTGGACAAATACCGCAGAGACGCGCCTGCCCTGAATAAAATTTTGCCCAAATCAATTAACTTTATTTAGAAGTGAGTTAAGAACACTGTTAACGCTAATATCTGGCCACATTACACTCGCTTGTTTAAATGTAACGTTACCTGAACCTGGCAGCTCCGCTATCTATCTTCAGCATGGGCTTTTTGAGTTGTTCAGTACAGATACATTTCTTAAGAAACATTGATTACCGGTATGTTGGACGACGAAGCGCAGGGTCCACACATTTTTGACGATGAGTTATTCCTGCTTAATAATAATAATAATAATAAAACGAACATGACAATAAATGTGTTAACCCCAGCATCAAAGTAGGCTAACACACAAAAAGACCATTTCTCTATCGATGAGCAACTGGCCATCAACTAATTTAAAATCGTCTGTGGCGTCCTAGGCTAGCACTGAATATTTGGTTGAGACTTTAGTGAATATAACGTATAAAGTTTAAACAGACCTTATACTAGTAGCCTATCTACTTGTACTGCACGTATCATTGTATCATTACAAAAACTGCTCTAAAACAGCTGTACTGATTGGCCTTAATGGTTATGTGTATTAAAGTCGCACAATAAAGATAATCACTACTAATTTAGTTCGTAAAAATGAATGGAATTTGCCTGAACAGGGTTCCAGCTAAAAAAAAGATAAGTTACTTGTGTGAAAGCTGCAGCCTAAACATCACTGATAAACACATTAAAACAAATCTATAAAAGCATTTCATTCTCATTGTGATTGGTCACTTATGGTTATATAACCGCATTTTTTAATACCGAGAAACTTTGGTTTGGTGTCACGTGATGCTTTCAACATCATCTGAAATGGATTCGTTAGTCGAGAGTTAAAACGAGATGCCCTTATTTGACACATTACGTGTACGTCAATTTATATTGTACATCGGATTACATAAAAGCAGGTACGAGTGAAATCAATGAAATTGTCGAATATAATACAACACAGACATTATATGTGAACCGATAAAAAAGGAGAGAGAAAAAATAGGGCAGAAACCACGTCACTTTCTTCTGCTTTTACGTCACTCCCTTCTCATGTCACTGAGGTTATTTCTTCCCTAGGCTGAACTAGAGCTTGAATACTGTACTTTAGAATACGCACTGAACAATTTCTGAAGCGGAAATTCATAGTGCACCAAAAAGGGCTGCTTTTTCTGAATAAGCTATTCTTGGCAGGTAAGGCGAGATCCTCCCCGGTTATTTCCACAGAAATCTCATTTGGAGTGTCACAGCTGAGCAACGCGCAGGTTTATGGGGAAATCTGATTGGGCAGTTCTGAAAATAACGGGTTTGTTGTCATTCAAAAAAGCAAAGGCACGCTGATAAGTGCGCTCATGTTCAGCATATCATTGCTGTTTCTAACGTTAACTAGTTTATGCAAAAAGCATCAGACCTCATAATATTACCTCATATATGTCATCACCTGCACCTCAAATTCACAACATGTAGATTTCGGTAAAGTTATTAGAAGTCTATATACCCACTACAAAAGTTATAAATTAAAATGTTCTCTCGTATTACAAGATGGTATTTATTTATGAATTATAAAAATAGCGTAAGCTAAATCAGAAATCATTATTTAAAAAAAAAAAAAAAAAAAAAGGTCGACCATGATAAAAATATTGTGACTACTTTACCTTTTTTGGTCCATTTACCTCGACATCTGCTTACTAGTCACCCCAAAGGAAAAGACCGTGATGTTAGTCACAATAATTAGTTTCTACATTAATGCAATAATCCCATGAAAAGTAGGGATGTTGGGTAAAACAGTTCCACCGCATAACTGCGAACACATCACGCGCTCTTTTATTGGATAGAAACCGCGCGCGCCAGTTACCAGGGTACTCTGCAAACGCAATCATGGCGCTTGTTGCTGTGCAGATTTCAACACTAGCAACTTCAACAACAACAAGCAAAAGTTAATATATACGTTAGTATTACACAAGTACCAAGCAATTTTTATTCAAAATGTTTAATCAAACCAGTCTTTGATGTGAGAGCAAATTATAGGCTATATGAACACAAGTAATTTTCGTTTTTGAAAGAAGTTGGTCAGATATAGATACCCCCTTACTTTCGAGCGGTAAGGTTGTTGCTATGCAAAACTTCACAGCTGTAACTGAGAGCAGGTTAAAAGCTTTTAAGGTCACATCGATCCCGATCCTTCATATTTGCGCGCTCCCTCTGTCTCGCACATTCTGCGTGCTCGCGCACACACATATCCAGACTTGCACACATGCAATAAAGTAAAAGTAGAAACAGTAGCAGTGTTGACTTAACAGATGTACGATAATTATCGTATGTGTACTATAATGTTTGACCTCTGTACGATCAATAATGAAAAAATCCCATAATGTACGATAATTTCAGAATTGTCTGACACTTCAAATGATGGTCGTTGTAATCATACTCATTGATCTAGCTGTGGATTCTACGTCTACCGTGAGAAGAACGTGAACGCTTGTCTTCCATCTCATCCGACGTTATGTCTTCTCGGCCAATCATCGTGGATAATGACTCTCTCATGAGCACAAGTTAATGTTATTTTTGTATATTGTATAGAAATTTGATATCAACATGTTATCTCTATGTTTTGCAAGAAGTAGGCCTAAGTAAAAACAAGCTCGTTCCTGCCACTGTGCTTATAGGTCAGTTTTTTTCCAAGCTGAGGTCGATTTTAGCAATAAAGTAATTTCCTGGTCGTGTCAAAAAGTTGTTGGTCTATAAATAGCTGTATTCTGTACGTTTGCCTCGTGTACGATCATTTTCTTCCAAATACGATCATTTTGAGCTTACTTGGACATTTCCAATCTGGCAACACTGAACAGTAGTCTGTATCAAACTTCATTCATATTACCTGTATGGTAGCTGCCCAATTACAGCAAACATGTTGTCTCCCAAAGAAAACAATGTCTTTGGATTTAGATTTTCCTATAAAGGTATATTTAATCCAGAAATAAAAACGCTGTCATCATTTAGGCCTACTCACTCTCATTCCCAACTCATTTGACTTTCTTTCACTCAAAAGTAAATCACAGTTTTGGCTCTTTTTCATAGTATCAATCAAAATTATACCATAAAAGTGAATCGTGCCTGAGGCGTGTCAGCCCATAACATTCTGCCTAACAACTCGATTTGTGTTCCACGTGGAAGAAAGAAAGTCAGTGAGTTATATTAATGATAACAGGATTTTTTGGCCGAGTTTTATCTCCTCAATAGTTGGCCCGTCGGTTGGTCACTAGAGGTCGCCGTTGAGCTATCCTGGAAATCTTTTATTTTTTTAAGTATTACCGGTGGAGTCTTTCCACGCGTCATATCCAGTCTATGGTAATATCCTGTTAGCTTAGCATCAAGGGAGAATAAAATGACCTCCTTTGATTTATAGCACAAATAACCCCGTAAAACAATTCAATAGAGCATAACCACATTATTTAACTAAAGGTATTGTTGCGAGAGAAATACCATTATGGCGGCTTTATTTTCGTGCTGTTCTGGCTGTTGCGGAGACAATAACAGTGGCCACGTAACACTGAAGGAAATGCCTACGGTTCAGCTGGACACTCATCACATGGGTAAGTGATGCGATCTGACTTTTCAGACACATAATATTGACGGAAAAGAGTTCGAGTCTTACAGAATGAGGCACAAGGCTGTCCTTCAGAAAGTGCCGGTCTCCATACATTAAACTAAAGTGTTGCGATCATTTCAGTGCTGTCAGACTCGATTGATAACTGTATGATCTTGACTTTGGCATCTGTAATAACAAATATGCGTGTAGATAATTCACTGGGAATTTCATGGTATTTTTCACTACCATGAAAAATAATAAATCACCAGTAGTAGTAGTAGAATTAAACAAAATCTATAGCGTGAAAAAGGATGAAGAAGAACACATGAATTAACGGTAGTAATAATTTTTGTACTCTGTCATGCAATTACTTAAGTCTCAGTAATTATTTTCATGATATTTCAGGCACTGATGTTGTCATTGTAAAGAGTGGAAGACGTATTTGTGGAACTGGTGGGTGCATTGCAAACGCCCCTCTCCATCAAAACAAAAGCTACTTTGAATTCAAGATTCAGTCCACAGGTAAGATGTGTGCAAGCATTTACTGTATGTTAGACTAATCGATTGTCAATAGTTCCTCTTAGTCATTAGGTGTGACTGCAGTGAACTTTGGCCTTGCAGGTGTGTGGGGATTAGGAGTGGCAACTAAGAAAGCAAATCTAAACCAGATCCCTATGGGTAGAGACCCACACAGCCTTGTGCTCAGGCAAGATGGCACCGTGTACCACAACAACGAAGAAAAGAACCGATTACCTGCTAACAGCTTACCGCAGGAAGGAGATATTGTGGTGAGGATCAGTGGCAATAATGTTAATGTCAAATTAATATGGGATTTGTTATTGGTAAATAAATCTATTTGTGTGTGCTTCCATTCTGGACTGAATTTGGGATTTGCTGCTTATAATAATAACAAGGGTTCTTAAAGGGTTTGTTCACTCAAAAATGGAAATGATCCCATTATTTACTCACCCTCAAGCCATCCTAGGGCCCCGTCCACACTACTGCGTTTTCGTTTAAAAACGGAGACCTTTTGCTACGTTTGCACCTCCCGTCCACACTAAAACGGCAAAAACGGAGACCCAAAACGGAGAAGTTTAGAAACGCTGCCGATCCGTTTTTCGTTTTGAAACTCCGGAGGGCGTTTTTAGTGTAGACGGGTCAAGACGGAGGACTTTAGAAAAGCTGACGTAGTAGAGGCTCACGCTCGGCTCTATGATTGGGTGTCATCAGTCATGGCGTATATCTTTGCTAGCAGCTGTTGTACAAGTAAATTCTGCATTTTACAACGCTATAACTGCCTACATGCGCCGGAGTCAAGCTATTATTCGAGCGATCTGTGACAATTCCCGTGTGCAGCGGCGGCGTTGACCGTACATGGAGCGTCGGTTTGGGGTTAACCCAGAGCATGGTGGGATAATTTTATCAATGAAGTTGTGTTTACACCGGCACGCGCATGCCCAGTGTTGGTGAATGGTCACGTGATCCGCGTTTTCAGTCGTTTTAATGTGGACGGAGATCAATTCTAATACGCAGCTAAAACGCTGGTGTGGACGGAGATCGTATTCGATTTAATTCTCCGTTTCTAAACTAAAACGCAGTAGTGTGGATGGGGCCTAGGTGTATATGACTTTCTTCTTTCAGCCAAACACAGTCAGAGTTAGCTGTATAATGCAAGTGAATGGTGGCATAGATTTTGAAGCCCAAAAAAGTGCATCAGTCCATCATAAAAGTAATCCATACTGCTCCAATGGTTGATGCGGTTTTGTAAGAAAAATATACATTTTTATAACTTTATAAACTCTCTGGCTTCCGTTGATGGCCGTACGGCTCTGGTTCCGGCAGAAGAGTGACCTCTGACCCGACGGATGACGTAGGAATAGCGTAAGCTTAGGTGAGAGTAGACGCCTCTCGTGGTTCAAAAGAATAGGGCTGGGCAACAAACTCAAGATCCTCCGACAGTTCTCTTTAAAAATGATCGTTTTAGACTTCTGATTAGTCACCGATGTTTTGTCTCGCTCTATCCTCTGCGCTTCCACGTTCTTCAATTGATACGTCATGCGTCGGGTCAGAGGTCATTAGACTTGCGTACGGCCGTTACCGAACAGCAACATTCATAAATGCTTTATTTATTTGTGAAGATTATCATGATAAAACAAAATGTGTATGAATCATAAACATCAGTTGGTGTCAGAGCATATTTTCAGCAGTAATCCAAAAGCCAATAGAAAAATCCTATTGGGGAACCAGGGTGATGCCAACTTCCTGCTTGAAAGCAAAGGCATGTTAATGATGCACAATTCCTGTGCTGATTGTTCATTTTGTGTGTAATAACTTTATGCATCTAATTTGTTTGTGTGCGAATGTAGGGTGTTACGTATGACCATGTGGAGCTGAATTTGTACCTAAACGGAAAGAATATGAACTGTCCGGCATCTGGCATCAGAGGAACCGTTTATCCTGTAGTTTATGGTGAGTATTATATAAAATTGATTAATAACTATTACTAAACGCTAACATCTTTGTTTGGTTGTAAGTGTAGTTTTGAGAGAAGACTTGTTCTGTTACTCAAGTAACACAATTACAGGATTGCCTTGATTTTTATTCTGTTACCCTGGAGTTTGTGATGAGTTGCACAGAAATGTCAATCATGAATTGTTTTAAATTAATGTTCTTTGATGCACAATATTTATATCTCTTTTCTACTCTGCTATGAATATGTATTTTAAACTTTAAAGACGACCTTGCAACATTGTCTGAATTGGTAAAGTTCTGCGAAATCTATGGTTGCAGCTTTTTTTAAAAGTAAATTTTAGGAAAAAATTATTTTGTGTATACACTCACCTAAAGGATTATTAGGAACACCTGTTCAATTTCTCATTAATGCAATTATCAAATCAACCAATCACATGGCAGTTGCTTCAATGCATTTAGGGGTGTGGTCCTGGTCAAGACAATCTCCTGAACTCCAAACTGAATGTCAGAATGGGAAAGAAAGGTGATTTAAGCAATTTTGAGCGTGGCATGGTTGTTGGTGCCAGACGGGCCGGTCTGAGTATTTCACAATCTGCTCAGTTACTGGGATTTTCATGCACAACCATTTCTAGGGTTTACAAAGAATGGTGTGAAAAGGGAAAAATATCCAGTATGCGGCAGTCCTGTGGGTGAACATGCCTTGTTGGTGCTAGAGGTCAGAGGAGAATGGGCCGACTGATTCAAGCTGATAGAAGAGCAACTTTGACTGAAATAACCACTCGTTACAACCGAGGTATGCAGCAAAGCATTTGTGAAGCCACAACAGGCACAACCTTGAGGCGGATGGGATACAACAGCAGAAGACCCCACCGGGTACCACTCATCTCCACTACAAACAGGAAAAAGAGGCTACAATTTGCAAGAGCTCACCAAAATTGGACAGTTGAAGACTGGAAAAATGTTGCCTGGTCTTATGAGTCTCGATTTCTGTTGAGACATTCAGATGGTAGAGTCAGAATTTGGCGTAAACAGAATGAGAACATGGATCCATCATGCCTTGTTACCACTGTGCAGGCTGGTGGTGGTGTAATGGTGTGGGGGATGTTTTCTTGGCACACTTTAGGCCCCTTAGCGCCAATTGGGCATTGTTTAAATGCCACGGCCTACCTGAGCATTGTTTCTGACCATGCCCATCCCTTTATGGCAGGGGTGGGGAACGTTGATCCTACAGGGCCATTGTCCTGCAGAGTTTAGCTCCAACCCTAATTAAACACACCTGAAGCTAATCAAGGTCTTCAGGATTGCTCAAGTTACAGGCAGGCAGTGATGTATGTCTCGAGACCGGTCTTGGTCTCGAGACCGGTCTCGAGACCACTTTTACGTGGTCTCGGTCTTGTCACGGCCTTGACGGTCTTTGGTCTCGGTCTTGTCTTGGTCTCGGACCTCTCGGTCTTGTCTAGGTCTCGCTGTCTCAGACCGACATAGTGGTCAGGGGATTGAGCAATACAATACTACAATATCCACGACGATATCCGCAATGTATTGAAGCGCGCGTCCGAGTGAAGACAGTGCGGTGCGCGCGAGCCACGCGAGAAAACACTGTATCCGCGCCACTGATCGCAGCGGCAGCGAGCACTTTGATCACTTGATTTAAAAAAACACATATCATGTACAGTTTTTGATATATTAATATTTAGTAAAACACATCAGTGACATGATGGGTTTTACCTTCATTCAGGAGATTTTGGGTAACTGCACAACTGACAGATGACTTTGAGCGAACCGCCAACGGTGTGTGTGTGTGTGTGTGTGTGTGTGTGTGTGTGTGTGTAACCATAGCGACAAAAACGACCAACTTTCGGATCCTGCACTTAAGCCTATAATTTCGTTTTTAAAAATATAATTATGTATTTAAAAGTTGCAGAATGGATTCATTTGGAGACTTCGAAATCAGCAGAGATAGGCAGGCAAATGCAAAACAACATTTGACAAGTTATTGCTTAGCTTCAACACTAATGTTTTTTTCCCCTCCGGTCTCGACTCGGTCTCGGTCTTAGTCTCGACTTGGTCTTGGTCTCGACTTGGTCTGTCTTGGTCTTGGTCTTGGTCTTGTCTTGGTCTCGATACCATCTGGTCTTGGTAGTGTCTTGGTCTCGGTTTAGGCGGTCTCGACTACAAGTCTACAGGCAGGTGAGTGTTTTTTTCAGGGTTGGAGCTAAACTCTGCAGGACAATGGCCCTCCAGGATCAACGTTCCCCACCCCTGCTTTATGGCCACCATGTACCCATCCTCTGATGGCTACTTCCAGCAGGATAATGCACCATGTCACAAAGCTCGAATCATTTCAAATTGGTTTCTTGAACATGACAATGAGTTCACTGTACTAAAATGGACCCCACAGTCACCAGATCTCAACCCAATAGAGCATCTTTGGGATGTGGTGGAACGGGAGCTTCGTGCCCTGGATGTGCATCCCACAAATCTCCATCAACTGCAAGATGCTATCCTATCAATATGGGCCAACATTTCTAAAGAATGCTTTCAGCACCTTGTTGAATCAATGCCACGTAGAATTAAGGCACTTCTGAAGGCGAAAGGGGGTCAAACACAGTATTAGTATGGTGTTCCTAATAATCCTTAAGGTGAGTGTATACATTGAAACAGTTGAGTTTGTTTATATGAAGAGTTCAAATAGACAACAATTTTTTTTCACCAATTTCAGCCTTTTGGTATTTTTTGTTCATTCTTCGGCAATGCAATATTGTTAAGTATATGTTTTTGTTTAATAACACATCTAAACATGTATGCCTTTGTCTTGTTCCTCACAGTGGATGATAGTGCAATATTGGATTGTCAGTTTAGTGACTTCTACCATACTCCTCCACAAGGCTACCAGAAGATTCTTTTTGAACAACAGATCTTCTAAAGTTCATGACATATTGTATATAAACTAAAGATATGTACTCCACAGCCGGGATCTGAAGTGCTATGGTTATGAATAATTTCTAAATATTGTGTGGCTCAATTGAAATAATGTCATCTGTGATTTTGACTTGTGTAAATCTGGCCACTTTCAAGTCATCCTATGTTTTTAAAGGAACACGCCGACTTTTTGGGACTTTAGCTTATTCACCGTATCCCCCAGAGTTAGATAAGTCCATACATACCTTTTTCATCTCCGTGCGTGCTGTAACTCTGTCTGACACACCCACCGCTAGCCTAGCTTAGCACAAAGACTGGATGTAAATGCCTCCAGCTAGCATACTAATCCCAATAAGTGACAAAATAACGCAAACATTTTCCTATTTACATGTTGTGATTTGTATAGTCACAGAGTGTTTCGTCAGATAGTTACAGCACGCAAGGAGATGAAAAAGGTATGTATGGACTTATCTAACTCAGGGGGATACGGTAAATAAGCTAAAGTCCCAAAAGTCGGCGTGTTCCTTTAAGATGAACTCAGTGAGTGATATCATCTGTGCACACGTTTAATTTGCACTTTGTCAAACACTGTACATTTCCTGATGTATTAAGTGTGCACGAATTACAGATGACAATCAAAGCTTTATACTTTCTACATTTCAAGAGAACAAAGTGGTGCTGACTCAAGATGCTGATACTGACTCAAAATACGGTCAAAAGCTCCTTTCATTGTTTTTATTTGATTTCATATTGTCTGATGTTTGATCTGCAGCCCACATAACATATACATAATGATTTTGATTGGTTCAAGCTCTACAAAAAATATATATTTAGAATTTCAAATTTCATATTTTTACCTAGTCTCAAATGATATCTGATTGTCTGTGTTCCTTAATTGTGGTTTGTTGTAATTAATTACAAAATTGTCTTAAACTAATGAATATTGAATGTGATGGGTTTTTTTGTACGTTCTAATCTGACAGGTCTTATTTGTGTCTTGTGTCTTTGTATTTAGTAATAAATGTTTTACTTTTGTCACCTGACTGTGCATATAGACGTTTTCTGTTGTATATACCTTAATTTAAGACATAAATGTTCCTGTTTATTATCAAAATGCAAATTTCTACTGAACGACCAATCATCTCACTGGCTTGTCTAGCGTACTGTACTGCGCGGTGACGCATCTTTACATACGTTCTTGGCGCGATGCTTCCAGGATGCTTCATGGCAGCTGTGTGAACTTGCTCAATCTACGCACACTGACGCAAATCTACTGTATGGGTCCAATAAAACACATCCCCTTAACTCCAATACTGTTTCACTTTCAAATCAAAGCACACTTCACCCTGAACCCCTTAATGAAGTAGGGTAAAACGCTAGTCTGTATTCACAAGACATATTTGTCCAAAAAAGTCCCCCAGTAGTGATGGGAGGTCCGACTCATTTCCGCGATTCGGATCTTTCCCATTATGGAGTTTATAATATATATATATATATATAAATAAATAAATAAATAATTATATTTATTTATTTATTTATTTAATTTTTAAATACTAAAAAATTATTTTAACTCATCATGGTCACTAACATCCCGCCATGGTATCTGCTCTAAAATGATCAAATAAAGCACAAACAATTGCATGTTTCAGTTCAATTTTGCATGCATGATTCAGCTCATAGAGTGCATAAATTTACATTGAACCTATTATTTAATTTGCATATACAATAAATAATTAGCTCGACAGATTTTTTGATAAAACAGATTAGACAACTAACATTAAAATAAAACGTGTTGATAAAACGTAAGGCATTTAAGTGGGTCATAGACATATTTTCACTTCTAGGACATTAAAGGCTGTTTGTAACATTTCAGAAAAAGAAGGTGCGGTTCAATGAGTCGGGGAGAACCGCTAATTTTGTGAACCAGTTCATTAAAGAAGTTCCGACTCAAGTGAATGATTCATTCACGTCTCGGACATCGATACACCCCCCGCCCTCCTCCTCCTCCTCCTCTTCCTCCCCCCTCAGCGGAGCTCCTCTGCTCTGCGCGTCGGTCGGGAGTCACTACAGACACACACATACACACAGAGCCATGGCCGAAAACGCCGGCTTGGAAAACCATCGCATCAAGAGCTTCAAAAACAAGGGGCGAGATGTGGAGGTAAGTCCACCGGATAGTTTGGACTCCGGGCTTTTTTTCCCCAGTTCGTTTTCCTTCCCCCGAGTCTCTGTGGTTCTGGTTTTATGGTGTCGGATCGGAGCGGGTGTTTGTGGACCCAGCAAGAGCATCATGCGGAGCGGGCGCGGCCTACATAGAGGCCTCTTTAAACACATATTTCCCTTCAATATTCACGAGATAATCGCGGCTTATACTCGGACTTGAGCTGTTATAGCGCATTATTTAGTCGTGTAATATTAAGACAGGTTTATTTGTTAGGTCGAGTGGGTGGCTCAGCTGTTAATTTTCTGTTTTAAATTGCGCTGGGCCAAAAACATGCAGATTTATCGTGTTAGCATGTGTGCTAGCTGCTAACTGGTTAGCAAGCGGCAGATTAATCGTCTACTAGTCCGTTTATTCGTGTGTTTTCTTACCCATACTTTTTAACATTCATGTATAGAAGATAAACTCTCTAAACATTAGCAAATAATCTTAAATGTAAGTTGCGAACCAGATATATGCGACAGAGACAGGTGTTTTAATACCGGCTTTAGCTAACGTTAGCTCTCCTAAACTGAACCAGTGACCAGTCATACCTCAACATCTGACCTCTTTATTGCTTTTTTAGTCACGCCAGTCTAGCAGCCCTGCTGTAGTTGATCTTAATGTACGTGTCCATTGATTAGAGCTGATTATGGTGGTTTAAAAAAGATGACATTGTGAAATGTCAGTTGGTTAACATCTTTTCCTCTTCAATCAGATTGTCCTTTGGTGTGGTAATTAGCATCTAAAGCTTCACCTGTAGGTATACTAGAGCTACATAAGCATGATTTTATTACCTTCAAACTGGAATGAAAACCTCCAGATGGTAGTGCTCCTAAATTCATACCCCGAATGCAGGCTGCATAGAGGCGACCTAGAAATACTAGTAAGCCAGGTTGTGCAGTAAGATGATGGATTATAAAACACAGCGATGGAATTTTTCGTTCTTTGACATAGTTGCCTTTGGCTTGCCGCTTGCACACATGTTATGTTTAAGTTTGTCATGACTTTCAATTAAGCTGTCTGGTGATGGGTGCTATGATTGAAATTTTAAACCTGTCATTGATATGCATCATTTACCCATGGCAGTGAGAAGATCCACTGAAATGTTCTTCCAGTCAAAACTCTTTATCGCTGAAGTATGTTTCATAAGATTGTGCTGGTTTTAAACCTGTGAGAAACATTTTATGTTCAGTTATCTTTTTTGAAGAAGTTTTTAATAAAGTTAACCCAAATATAGTTTGAGTTTTTAGCTAAAATAATTTGTAAACACCTGAAATTGTTTTATCATACATTTTTCTCACCCATAAAATAGCCATAGACGCTGACATGGCATTAAAAAGCATCAAACAAGCCCATGGCAGTGATAAACATCAACAAATAGTAATTGGGTTTGTCTACACCAAATAGTTGTACATTGAACAAAACCTTTTACCTATGTCCTTTTGATGTATATATTATTTAGCAAATCTCAACTTCTTGATCACTTATCATTGCAAAATGTAAACTTTTTTTATTTAATAATATATTTTATGTTGAATATGTAGCACACCCGCATACAAACAGTACACTTAAGTAAAGCGATATATACTATATGCTTGATTTATGTTGTCGCAAAATGTAAACCGTATTATTGCCCAACTCTAATCTGCCAATTATGACTAAAGGCCCATTCACACCAAGGTTGACAACTATAACGTTAAAGCTCCTGTAGGTAACTTTTGAAAACATGTATTTGCTAAAACTGTCATTATGTCCTGACAGTATAATATGAGACAGATAATCTGTGTAAAAATCAAGCTCCTCTGGCTCCTCCCAGTGGTCCTATTGCCATTTGCAAGAAATACACGCTCCCTGTCAGAAACAACCAATCAGAGCCAGGAGGAGTGTCTTAGCACTGTCAATCACGCTCGTGTACGCGCTGATCACACCCCTCTCTTGCACAGTGCGAGCGCCGGAGCGCGAGCCGTCGTTCAAACTCAAGATTGCCGGCGTGCTGCAGCTGTGCTTATGACGGAGAAACAACCTAAACTGCCAATTCTCGAGTGACACCTGCTCATAAAACAAAGAGATAAAAGGAAAAAGACCGATGACGATAAACAAGCGAAAAAGAAAGAATTACACAGAGCCCATTGACTCGGTGTCAAAACTCTAGCCGCATAACATGTAGATAAAATGTCACGCACTCTGCTAAGCAACAATTGAAACCTGCTAATTCACTGGCTTGTCATGTTGCTGAAATAATGTACTAGCACACCTTATCTAGCATTATATATCGCTAGAATAATTACTTACATACTGTAACGTTAGTTACCGTTATATTAACGTTATGGAAAATACATAGCTGCTAATGATTTGAGGACCAAGTTTGTAGTCAGTTTGTAGTAAGTATGGGCAGGCCATAGTCAATGTAAAGCATATTATTGACGTTTAGTCCCTATTAGTGAATGTGCCATATAACTTTTTATCCGCCGTCATCGGTGGGCCTGTTTACTAGCCTGCGGGTTCACGACAGGCTCCGCTGTGGAGGACGAGCTGTGGAGGGAGGGCTGTAGCGCAGCAGAGAGCAAGGGGGTGGGACCTGGAAGTTGTGCTTGTTCAAATTTTCACGCTAAGTCAACGTTTTCTCAAAACTCCCTACTGCAGCTTTAACGATAAAGATATAGTTCTAAAAATCCATCGAAATATTAATGATTGGCAGAGTCCACACCACAGCTATAACGATAACCGCACAGATAAACAATATCGTTGGAATCACTTTCAGAACAATTTTTCCCAGCTGTTGGTGAGTGATAAAAACAATGACAGCCAATCAGAACCCATCAGACTTTAAAGAGCTCGAAGGTATAAAGTAGTACACGAACAAACTGAAGTGTGTGCTTGGAATAAACAAAAAAAAATTGTCTACTGTTGTGGATGCTAATATAGTTAGTTATCTTATAGCTAGACGTTCTTGGTGTGAACAGGCCTTAAGGCAAGATGATGTTAAAATATTCTAGACTTTAACATCATGATTTTCTGTAAAGCTGATTTGAAACAATGTGTATTGTGAAGAGTGCTGTATAAAGTTGATTTGACATCTATAACCAAACGCATTCAGTTAAATTAAGAAACATGGCTAACGTCACGTCTAACCCAGAGGACCACCGTAATGAGTGTTCAAAGTCACTTTCAAATGAATAGTATAACATTAAAGGTGCAGCGATCACATTTATGAAGAACTCATTTACTCTCACACCCTGTTGATACTGGACATCATTATCATCTTCTGCCTTGAGCTCATCCGAGGAACCCCTGAGGCCTTCTTCAAGATTAATGGTGCGAACTGACAATAGGCCGCTGGTGTGACTCAGCCGTCAGACACGCATGGCTTTGGATGAAGCCAGCAAAGCTGTCACCCTTCTGCAGCTATTCCGGGAATTTGCAAAGTAGATTCAGATTTCTCATCTTGTGTTCCTTAGAGCAAAGGGCTCGTGCATGATCCATTTGATGTGGCCAGCACCGGACTGTGGAACTGTGGGATACTTTGGCTCATTAGCTGCTAGATTTAGCCAATAACAAGGATGTACTTGTAGCTAACTGAGGGAATGACGAGTGCTGCTGTGTTTTGCATCGCTAAGTGGCTGTGGAAAAAGAAATGAAGCCATTTGATTCGTCTGCCATGTCACATACTCACTTGATACCAGCCTCAAAAATGGTCAAAAGAGCGTCTGAAGAGTTTGTTAAAATTTGCACATTATAATCAAAGAGCATTTGTGATTGGATTATGGGGCTGGGTATTGATTTGGATTTGTTCTTGATTCGATTCTGATCTAGATTCGATTAATTTGGATATATATTCTTACGGGAAAAAAATCTCAACCAATGCTGTTAATATAATTTTAAAGGTTTAGATTTACAACAAACTATAACATTCAATTGCTATTTATTTTTTAAATATAATGATCAAAATCTGAGTTGTATGCAAACATTTATTTGCACAAGGCAGCTTTTGTATTTAATGATTTTGTTACTTCCTACAATGTGTTGTTGAAATATAAACATTTAAATGGTTGCTGTCATAACTTCTCATGAAATAATTATTCAAACATTCATTAAATAAGACATCACTAACAGGTTAAATATTATTAATATGTAATATATGTAGTTAATATGTAGTGCATATATTCAGTAAAATACTCTAAAACAGCTTGTAAACAATGTTACATTTATATTATTGACATCTTTCATCAGTTGAAACACTGATTAAGTGATTACATGAGACATGATACGTTTCAGTAAGTTGTATCTTTCATGCCTTCTGATGTTCATAGCTATTTATTTAACGCTACAACCAATAGTAAAGAGGAAGAGATAATCTGGGCTGTGTTTAACTCCACTTTTAGACATGCACTCATGAACTTCCCTAAGCACTTCCCCTCTGTGGGGAATCCCCAACGCCATTTTGACGTGCGTTCAACTTCAAGTGGACGAGGGAAGTTTATTTGGACAGACCCTCCACCCCTCGATTTTGACAGATTGAGCGAGTCTACATGTACACATCAGGGAGATCTATAGACTACAATGCACCATGTTTGTGACTTCACAACAGATGGCGCTTCATTTACTTTCTTTTGTTGTTTTATTAACATTAACAACATTATTAGGCTGCTGTCCCTTTAAGACCTGACGCATACACAAATCCAAAATACTGTTACACATTCTTTCTGAACTGTTTACCCACTGTGTTTACGTTAATAGGCTACTCACCAAGATAGGCATTGTGTGACATTATTTTCGAGTGTATTTGACCATTAATAAGCTGCGAAAAAGAGCTAATTTTGGCACTTGTATGTTAGAGGCGGCTTTATTATGTGTGTGCGGTTCGGATTCAAGCACGGAACATGCGGGAATGAGTCGAATTATGCGTAATCCCGCCCTGAAATCCAGACCCGGTCACACCAACACTATTTAATCGGAGTGAATGAGACCTCTGAATGAGAAGAGGCGGAGTTTTCTCAACTCCGAAAGCGCAGCTGGTATCGGTGTATCGATACTGCCGAAAGGCGTATTGAAATAGTTTCAGATATTTCAGTATCGATACATATCGAAATATCAATATTTTTTAAGCTACCTTAAGCTGGCTGTTTTTTAGCACAGTTATAGTTTATTATATTGTTATAATTTCCGTTTGTGTATCTTTTAATATTGTATCTAATATGTTTATAACAGCACAAGCATACATGCAGGTCTATAGAATGGTGCATAAAACAAATTCATAAGGAAAACAACTGTAAATAATAAATCATCTCCATAGCAGATTCCAGTGATCAAGGGCTTAGGGAGTTCCATTTAAACGCATTGCAAGGGTTCTGCCAGTAGTGGGCACTCGTGCAACGTAAGCCATGATGTACAAAGCTTTTTGCGATTATTAGATGGCAGACTTGCTGCCAATGATGTTTAGTGAAGTTTTGCTCATGCATCAACAAAAAAACGGCATAGATTAAGGGTATGTTTACATGACAAAGATGTACTAAAAACTGAACAGTGTTTCTTTTGTATTTTTTGCGTAACAGATCCGTGAAAACGATTAAAATTGCTGTATTCTGCTGCCAGGCCAGTAGTTGGCGATGTCACTCTGTAAAGAAACGTGTGCGCGCCTATAGACTGAACACGCAATACACATAGCATGACGTCACCGTTTTCACAAATTGTTTTTGTGCTATCGTTTGCGGTAGAAGTTTGCGTTTTTAGGCCCCGAAACTCCATTGTCGTGTAAATGAACGAAATATTGTCGCCCGCCCCCCTCCCCCCTAAGAGATCGTTCTCGGGATTTAATAATCACTATCATTAAACAGTGTATAATTGATATAGTCAACCCAGCCCTATTGAATAACATAAAGAAATGTCCTCAGTAATAGCCTTCATCCTGCTATTTTGCATGTGCCAGATGCTTTAGCTAAAATATGTGCTGGTAAAATATTATAATTACACAATTTGCCAACTTGGTTGCATTCAAGAAATGAATTTTATCTATGCGTTTTCCCCAGGAATTGAACCCATGACCTTTTGTGTAGCAAGCATCACGGTCTAAAAATGAGTCAAGCCTGATGTTTGGGGCTATTGTGCAGTCAACCTATTTATTAGCATGTCGTGGACCTAACAGGAGTGCGACAGCATGTCCTCAGACCATGCTGGCAACCAGACAAACACATGCACACATACTGTGTCATTATGCTGGTCTCAAGAGTGTCAAGCTGTCATGTCACCGGTGAAGCCTCTGTCCACTGACTCCTGGAGTGCTTCCTCTCGGCTCTGCCCTCCTGTCATTCTGCTGTGACTCATACATAACGCATGCGTCACTAAAATACTGCTCATGTTGCGTATTCAGGATTTCAGGAAAGAATTTCTTGTTTTTTTTAGTTGAAAATGTGGCCTAGTGTTAGTTCAACATTGAGCCATGGTGCTTTTGCAGGTGAAACCAGTTCAAATCTGGCATCAATTGAAATACAGCTTTAGACATCATGTTACATGAATTGAATTCTAACAGGAACGGTGAGCATTTTGCAGGTTTTTAAGATGTTTTATGGGGCTCCTCCAGTTCAACTACGGCCCTGTTTAAGATGCATTTTGGTCAATTGGATCCCAAGTGGACGACGCTAAAACGTTTTGAGCTTGTCCACTTTCCACCACTTACAGAGGTAGTCGAAAACGCATTTGACCGGATTGCTTTCGTAGTGTAGACGCTCATTTGGTCGAATGTGTTCAAACAACCACAAAAGACCTCCTACTCTCCGCCTACTGACCTAATGTGTAAACATTATGGTAAACCACCCAAGTTTGGGTTGAAGACGACAAACCTACAAAGCACAATGTTCTCTCACCATTCCTGATTTCTAACACACACTCATAGCGTTCGGCTGGTCTTGCGGCTGTCAGAGCAGAAACGAAAGCTGATGCTCTCTGTATGTTTTATATGTAAATTGCTTATTTTGTCAGTTAGATCGAAGGATCTGGAAGAAAAAAAAACATACATTTACCAGCCCGTAGACCCTCCACTCGAAGAAAATCAGGACAGAATTGGTTGAAAGTGGACAAAAGTGAAGAATTAAAATACCAGGTGTAAACGGGTAGCCTATGTGTCTACCCTCGTCTACTTGTGGTCCGATCGACCAAAACGCATCTTAATACCAGGTGTAAACTTGGCCTAAAGTGCAGAATGATAGTAACACCAATGTCATGGGTTCATTTCCTAGGGAACACAAATTGATAAATATGCATTTAAATGCACTGCAAGTTTACTTTAAATAATTTACTTGTAAAAATGCATAATTTGAACTCTTTGAGTATTTAATAATTGAACTTCCTGTTATATTTAATTAGTCATTCAGAAATAAATGCTGGTATTTTGTCCTTTTCTGTTTCACTTTCTTGTTTGTCGCTTTTGCTTCTACATCCTCTCGCTTTTCCCCTTCATGACTTTTGGATTGCATAAGGCACAGTGTGGCTTTGCTGTAACATGAACTAGTATGCCCAGTCACAAGATCAAATTCGATCCGTCCCACCATCCCCACCACACAGCATGTGAAGTCTTTGCATTGTTGGCTGCTGATGTTTTTACTTTTTCCTCCTAGGCCATATTAGCCTGGTTAAAACCAGACCATTCTCAGTTGTAACTGAGTTATGGTCTGGCAAAGCGTCATAGACAAATCATTTCCAGAGGGGCGTCACCAACGGGCGGCGCGGAAAGACCTAAACCCAATCAGAGCGATGAAGGAGATGACGTATGCAGAGCGGAGTGTTGTTCTTTGCTCGGTTTTTAACTAAAAGGAAACGTTCAAATCGCTTAAAACAGACGCGATAGCTGATTCAAACGAGTGATGTTCGACGGCGGCATCCATCTTTGTAATGTAGGCTACAAAATCTGCTTCAAAATCCCAGCACTATCGTCATCGTGTAAAGCCCGCCCCAACGTTTCTGATTGGTGCCGTGATTTCGGCAGATTGGAAATGAGCTTGAATGAGCTCTTTGCCAGACTAACTTTCAGAGCAAATCTAAATTTGCCGGAAGTTGTCTGGGTTTTCCCAGGCTAAGGCTATATCCCATTGAAGTTGTATATTTAAGAAAATAAATAAATTAGGGAGCAGAACCATTTGCGATAAGTGACCTATCCATCTTGTCAAAGTCGGAATGAAAAGAAAATTCTTTTTATATATTTAGTAAGTGCATGTTGTAGATCTTACTGTGAACAATTTAGTCCGCTTAGGCTATATCCTGTCCCTGAAATCTCACGTTCATCTGAATCGACTTTTGCATGTCCAAATCCAATCAACAGTCCCTACCCTACATTGTTTCTTTTTTGAGAATCCATTACATTCTGATGTACATACAATACGGAATAAAAGATCCATCTCTAATTCCATTTCATTGCGACCTGAATGTGTTTAGTTGCTCCAGATATATTCCTGCTGCTCTGTCTTGTGCAGATGTTTGATCTGTTGGGTTTTATGGAACAGTTCTAATAGAATGGCCACAAAATGTGATCGTCTAAACAGAGGACTGAGTGACAGCTGGGTTCTGCCGTCACCATGGTTACCACGGTTGGTTGCGTCTTTGTTCTGTTGGAGTGGCAAGACTTTGGTTGGCATTTTGTTTGCATCATTACAGCCCATTAGTGGGTGTCACCGTGGCAGTGTGTGAATCACTTGTGGATTTGAACAAGTAGCTAAACCCTAGTATTAAACTTAAAGCAACCACCCACAATGCTCTGGCGTAACGTAAAACTCTGACAGTTGTCTTAGAATTTCTTTTTGTCTCTCTTTATACCTAAGATATGTTATACTGTACTACTTAACCAACCTATTTCTCTTCTTTTTCAGACGATGCGAAGACATCGTAATGAAGTGACGGTAGAACTGAGAAAGGTAAGTTCACAATTAATGGTCCGTCATTGTTTCAGGATTATTTGCATAGTCACTGATCATTTGCAAGTTTCCTCTGGATGGAAGTATTTAAGCTACATGTGTAGCTGAACATTGCATTCTGATGCAATACATGTGACTCATCAGAAGAAGAATGTTGGTTGGAAATAAACCAGACTTACAAAATTGATTCTCACCCCTCTTTATTTTTTTCATTCCTAAATAACTACGTGCACTCTTACCAACAACATTAAGCTGTTGATTGTGGTGATTCAGTGGGTACTTGAGGTTTGTATTTAGCGCTGCATGTAAGAGCTCTGAATAGTTCCTCAGTCTCGTTTAGGGCTGGGCTATGAAGCTAAAAACAAATGTCTTCACTAGCAGTATGTATGCATTTGCTCTGAAATTATCTGGAATTTATGTATTTATTGAGCTTGTTGCCTTTTAGTGGCTGACTTTTTAATTGATTCACTGAAATGGAGTTTGAACAATAATACAATATTTTGCTCCTGATAAATGAGAGATGGCATTAAAACAACTGCTGTGGGCCAAAATATTGAATTGAGGGTGGGGTTTTACTTAAGCGCACATCCTCTCCATCCCCCGCTCATAGCAGACGGGCGGTTGATTCTGATTAAAGATTACCATGACAAACACATTGTTTTCTGTGTATTAACTTGCATGGATTATTTGTTCACCACAAGACTAGTAATGCGCGCTAACAAAGTAAATTGGGTAAATGTCGACTTTTAAAAGCTGGTAGACCCTAGAATCGTCACCACCTTTTGCCCCTCTAGTGACGGCCATGCTTCTACCATTAGTTATAGGAACTATGAAAACGTTCCTCCGCTACCAAAGCCCCTGAAGTGTAGCTGCAGCATTGTGCGGGTACATCGTTCCAGGAAATAGAGGAGCATCTGAGCTTAAATGTGGCCTCGGCGTGGAGTCTCTTCATGCATTACAGTAAACTTAAGCAGGTGGTGATTGCATGTGATTGCACAGATGCTTTGCTCTTGCTTCAGGACGTTGCATTTAGGATTTTTCTGTTCTGTCTTTTCTGTAAGACATGAGCACTGGAAGCAAGGCATCTCACTCTAAATTTAGTGTATAGCGACAAATCTGATAGCGTAACCAAATGTTGACCAAACATTTAACATGGTGAATCAGATACCAGAGACCGAAGGATCCTGCTGCTGTGTCAAACACACGATCTGATCAACACCATAAGTGAGTAACTGAGCTGATAAGTCTTATGCCCGATACACATTGTACGTTTTTGGGATGTCCCAGATGAAAGCTGACCAATCGTGGCGATTTCTGTGGTCGTGGCTCCTAAACGGTGGTCCTATGTCATACAGTGAGAGGTTCAAAGATGGCCGTTGTCACGGTCTTGCGACCAAAGATAGCCTGCAATAATTTTCTGACAGTGTCAGAAATGTAGCATGATCATCTCACAGTGTGTAGACCTACATCTACTTGACTAGCCAATAAAACTGCAACATGAAATGGTGTGTTGATCAATGCGACATGGCGCTAAAACGTAAAACTATACATCTCAAGCTCTATTTGCAACAATGGCATGCCAAGTTGGCCTCTTTTCCCTAGTCCATATTCTCCTCTTTCACTTACTCTTTTTCAATGCACATGAAAAACACAATTGCCAAAGTGCATCTTGTTACACGGAACTTTGTTCACCACTAGCGCATGCTGAATTCAATGTCTTCATCATACAGTCTACATACAATGTCGTACCCAAGTTTATTAGATCCATGTCGTACTGTGTGATTTGTAATGATCTTTGCAAGGATTGCCGAAATCACAGTCTGTAGCAGACATTAGTGCCACGATTTCACATGTTGGAGATATTTGCTTTTGTTACCAGTCATGTGTCATAACTTGTTTTTTTTTTTTTAATTTAGCAGGAAAACACGACTAATGTTATTAGTCCTTGTTTAAAAAAAGCAACAGCAAAAAATGTCTTGTTATTGAAGCCTTCACATGGCTTTGTTCTCTCAGCTGGTGAGCGGTTTCTTTTGGAAATCTGGTTTGCGCTTGCAGTATTTGGGTCATGCCATCCATGGTCACGGGGCCCCTGGTTGGCTGCACCCCAAGAAGGAGGTTGTCATGAGGGGCTTCCCTCGTCACACACTTCTCCCCTGCCCTCCTCCCTTTCTTTTGGCACGAACTCTGAACCTCGCTAGAACTACTTGTGTATTTTTCTGGGTTTTACATATTAATAAATAAATGATAAAAAATTGTCACAGGTCCCTACTTGATAAAGTAGCATGTCATTCATGCCTTCAGCCTCTGACAAAGTCCATTATGACAAATGGCTACCGTGCTTTGTGTACCAGTCTGAGTGCATAGAAATCCCCTGTTGTTGATCTGGTAGGCCAGAGTTGATGTGAAGCAGAAGTTTAGTCCCACAGCCTTGATCTTGATGGATTTGGTGCTGGATTGGGTGACGCAGCATGTCCTGTCCATATTAGGCGGTTATACTGTCAGCCCAGAGGAATCGGACAGAATGCTGCTGTGCTCTGGTGTGTGAGACATTCCTCTTTGCATTCCAGTTTGCTCTAACATTAGCGTCACAGACCGCTCACCCTCACATTATTTTCTCACACAGCCTAGAACCAGAAGGGACTTTCTGTGTGCCATTTTTTCAGTTATTTGCCTTTTCTTTTTTAAGGGTTCGATATTGTGCTGTTAAATTTAATTTAGTTAACATCAGCAGCAAAATATTCTATTTAAGGGTTTTGTGAGAAAATATTTTTTTCTCAATTAGTCTTGCTGCAATAGTCTGTGTTAAAGGTGTTACACAGTGTTCAGCCGCACACAGATTACATCACTTGTCCACCACTGCACGTTTTTTTTTTTTATAGTAATAAAAATCATTTAGTTCAGTTAAAGAACTGGGCCCGTATTCATAAAGAATCTTAATGCAAAGAGTAGCTCCAAGTGACAAAATTCTAAGAAAATTCTTAGAAATGTGGGTGTTTACTCTTAAAATTAAAGAAAAAATCCTAGTAAAGAAAAATTAATTCAGAAAGTATCTTAACCCTTAAAAGAGGTCTTAAGGTCAAAATTGTTAGGAGTACGGACGAGGACTTTTAAGAGGCTTAAGAGTTTCTTTAGCAGAGGAGAAAATGGCAGAAAGAGGGAGAAGAAATGTGTTGCAGACAATGGATGACAGTGAGTTAATAAGACGCTATAGATTGACACCCGGCCCGAATTTTCCTTTAAGGATGGCCTTGTGTTCATCCACTACTGGGCTAAGAGTAAACACTGTTCCTCTGTCCAGTCGGGCTTTCTCGTCCTTCTTGGTTTTGATTCCATGTTTGTTACATTAAAATCAACATTCAAACCACCACTCAAATAGACATGCCAGCAATCAGTGTAATCAGTGTAATTGGAAAGAGTGGAACAATTTTTATCATTCTAAGCCATTTAAATACCTTATAGGAAATTAACAGCATGGTAAATAGAAAAAAGGATTTATATACACATATATAGTGTGTGTGTGTGTGTGTGAGAACGGTCAAATAGGAAAAATTATGCATGTAATTTCAAAGTGAAGGCTTAGAATAGACCCTATGCTTCAAATCACTCTTTTTTTTTCCTTCTTGGACAACCAACCAATCACAGTCTTCAAAAGATTGTGTCATACATAGCAACGGGGTCAACCCCGCCTCCTCACTAAGATGACAGTTTTTGTCTTTTTCTTGCTAAGAGTTGCTCTCAGATCGGTCCCGAATCGCTCTTAAGCTAAGACTCCTACGTAAAAGTTTTTAAGCTAAATTAAGAGTTTTCTGAGAGGATTCTTAGAATCTTTATGAATACGGGCCCAGGACACTACTTGTAAAAACTGATTAACCTGTGGGAAAAATAAGATTTTGTTGCAATGTGGGAACATTCTGTACATTTCTTAACTAATACTGAGAAAAATTAAAACTCTGAAAAACTGTCAAAAACCTGAAACATTTGCACATAACTGCCTGTTTACCAACTTATTTGGTGTTTTGAATTTCCCACACCTCTTCAGGTTGAGGTAATAAGGATGAAGTACTCCAGATGCTTGCTAAACGTCAGAACAACTAGCAAAATGTGATAGTCTGTCAAAAAAAAGTTTTTTTTCTGGCTGTATGTAGCACCTTCCGCTCTGCAGTTCCTTCTGAAGGATCCCAGTGTTAGAAACGAGCAGCTTATTTTTTATATTTAACAAAATATTCAAATTAAGTCATTTCATTCTGAACTCTTAGTTTGCTTAAATACAGGGGTTCAATGTGCTGCCCAGAGGACTGTTGTATTAAAGGCACAGCAGAAAAAACAGCCATTTGATTTTAAGCCGTATGATATAACCTCTTTAAAATAATAGTTTATTAAAATTAAAAACTCCTTTATTAAATATACATGACATTAATTCACACTTAAGAGTGTGTTCTATGATTTCCCCAAATGTATTAAGTCCGTAAAATCACAGATTCATTTGTATTTGGTTTGGTCTGTGTGAAGTGCAAGTATTCACAGAGGACCTAATATTTACTTAATCCGTACAGAACAAAAGAGACGAGCATCTCCTGAAGAAACGAAATGTTCCACAGGAAGAGAGTCTGGAAGATTCCGATGTGGACTCCGACTTCAAAGGGGTAAGAGGCTTTCTACTAATTTCATCTCCCTCCATATCTTCCGTTTTCCTTTACATAGTTGGTCTAAATTTTTCTCTTCCTTTTCTCCTCAGCAAAATGTAACGCTAGATGCCATCTTACAGGTAAGGTTTTAACGTGGTGAATGTCTGATAAATAACTGATTCGGAGGGTCAGCAGCGCAGTGCGAGCGACCCCTTCTTCCTCTCATTCTCCATTTCTCCTTTTTCTTTTTTTCCCTACAGAATGCCACCAGTGACAATGCAGTTGTCCAGCTCAGTGCAGTGCAAGCAGCCAGGTAATGTGTTGTGATGCATGATTTGATTGTTACACATTGAATGTCTTCTAAAAACATCTCTCATAACCTCATGCCTCTAATAACCTCAAGTCAACATATCAGACTCTTTGCTTTAATACACATGCCTGGTCTTTATGCACATGATTCATCAGTGCGTGCGAGTCTAAAGACAAAGTCCTAAACTAATTTATATTCCTTGTTGAATATAATTAAAAAATGCATCACATTTTATTGATGTTACCATTTTTTCTGAAGTAGTCTGATTAACGTTAAATCAGCTGAATGTGAAAAGCATAACTCGAAACAACAATGATGTACTCTGTCGATTATGCTTGTAATTAAATATGTTTTGCTGGATTTGTCTCTTTGAAATGGATTGCATTAACACTGCTGACATGTATTTGGCGTGCCGGATAATGGATGAAAGAGTGCCTGACTCTTTTTCTCTTTTCCGTCCTCGCAGAAAATTGCTCTCAAGTGACAGAAATCCTCCCATAGACGACTTGATAAAATGTGGAATCCTTCCAATCTTAGTCAAATGCCTGGAGAGGGATGACAAGTGAGTGTGACTATACATTGCACTAAATGAAATGATTCAAAACTTAATGAAACCTTTTTAATTGTGCTGTTTGTGTACAAACATGCATCAGAGTTAATGAAGTTTTCAATGTCAATCTTGAATGATGGTAGAGAAAGTGAATGAGATAAAAGAATAAGGGATGAGGCAGAAGGTGGATGTTAGATGGAGATCCTCAAGTGAGAACACTGCCGTTCAAAAATTTGGGGTCAGTAAGATTCAAGATGCATGAAATTGACAAAAGTGAATGTAAAGACATTTATAATGTTACAAAATATTTCTATTTCAGATAAATGTTCTTTTGAAGTTTCTTTTCATCAAAGAATCCTGAAAAAAAATGTGTTACGGTTGGTTTCTACAAAATTATTAAGCAGCACAACTGTTTTCAACATTGATAATAATAATAAATGTTTCTTGAGCAGCAAATCATCATATTAGAATGATTTCTGAAGCATCATGTGACACTGAAGACTGGAGTAATGATGCTGAAACACAGACAGTAATGCTTTAATGACTTTTAGGTGCGTTCAGTCGTGGCCTTATAGTTCCACCAAAGTGTTATTCATAAAGACGTGCTAAATCAGACACAACTTGCCCGGATTTCTACAGCCTTATTCAGCAACAGCAAAACAATTACAAATTTTATTCAACTTGTGAGGTTGCTTAGAAAATAGTGTCCTTAGGCGGGTGTCACACCTTTCTCCATGACCGGCCCATGCTTTTTTTAGGCAATGAGAAATGCTTTCTTCCTGTGAATTATTGAACATGTTCAGATTTGCTGACTTGTTTGGAGGCCATATGGTTAAAGTTAGCAAAATGAAGTGGAAATTATAGAATTTATCCTTATAGAGAAATAAGGATTGCTACCTGATACATAAATGGAAAACCACTTTTATTTTATTTTTATCATGCATGACTGGAAAAGTCATGAAAATGCATCTGACAATGGTTGTGTGTTACAGTGATCTGACTCAAACTGAAATCATTGCTTTTGTCTTCATGTCTGACTCTAAATGAGCCAAGAACTGTTAGTGTGTGTACTTTTTAAAAAGTTTTTATAATGGTCAGTTCTGGCTACAAACACAGAATTCTGTGGGAAAGTCCTGCTGAGCCCTTTTCAGAGTATCGCAGAAGGTCATTTTGTATTCATACTTGTCCGAGGTGAAGTTGTTTACCACCAGCGCAAAGAAAATCTGAACTTCCATTTCTCTCTCTTTTTCTTCATCAGTCCTTCATTGCAGTTTGAAGCTGCCTGGGCTTTGACCAACATTGCATCAGGGACGTCTGCACAGACACAGGCTGTGGTCAAATCCAGTAAGTTGTTTGGACAGGCCTTCGTCTACTTGATCAACCAGTTTTGACTATGTCAGCTCTCTCTGTGTTTGAAGGCTCTGTCCTCCTCTCATTCTCTTTCTCTGTCTGTGTAGATGCTGTCCCATTGTTTTTGAGACTTCTCCACTCTCCTCATCAGAATGTGTGTGAGCAGGCCGTGTGGGCGCTGGGAAACATCATTGGTGAGTAACTGTGAAATATCCTCACACTGTTATTGCCACTGAATTGGGTAACTGAAAAGAACAAAAACAAGAATTTATATCGAAACCAAGGAGAGAGTAAGTTGTTTTTTTTCATTCTCCTGGCAACAAATACTAACCAACCAATGTGAACTTTTGGATGTCATGTCCAGAACAGCTGCTGCATGCATATTGGTGGCGTTAACGCATTGAAAGCTGTTGGTTCAACCAAAATTAAACGCCAAAGACACAATTTTAGATTCAATTATAGTTGACATGCCTCTCACAAACCTTTAAAGCTTTTCTTCCATTGCGCCACCTATAGTACTGGAGTATATTTAAAAAAATATATACCATTGGTTTCTTTTTTTATATAATTACTGCTATTGCATTTCTTAAGTAGTGCATTGACAATTTAAAAAAAATCGGGATCCATATAATTTGAGAGTTGTAACAGCTGTGATACTCATCAGTAGTGTTATTTACACTTTTTAACACAAGCTTGTGATTTATGGTCCTTTGCAGGTGATGGACCTCAGTGTCGAGATTACGTCATCTCGCTCGGTGTGGTCAAACCTCTCTTGTCGTTTATTAATCCTTCCATCCCCATAACCTTCTTGAGAAACGTTACCTGGGTCATTGTCAATCTGTGCCGAAACAAAGACCCACCCCCACCCATGGAAACAGTGCAAGAGGTGAGGAGTGTATGTGATCGTACGTACGTTTAATACTCATTTCTTTTAGTTGGTAAAAATGGTCTATAAATTGTTTAATTGAATATTGTTTAGTAAACAAAAACTGTGTTTTTATATCATCTAAAATAACACTTGATCAATGTTAACATAGATGACTAATGTGTTTTTACCACATCACACTATTTATCCGCTCTCATTAAGTCGGTTCAAGCCTGACTGCTGAAGTGCATAGAAATACAGTGATTTGATTGAATAAATTGATCCACTCAGCTGGCTGTTTGACTGATTGATATGCACAAAGCACTTCATAAACTGGCATTTAATCCAGTGAAGCACCACTGTGCCACAATTTTTAAATCTTAAAGAGTGTGCAAGATATTATATGTATTTTCATTCTTGCGTTTCAGACTAAACCTTTCTTAATAATCTGAAGTCTGTTTCCTTTCTATTTAGCTACTATCCAGTCATGGGTTGCAGTTATTATGCTGTATAATCTAAATGCCAATATTTTTATCATTTATTTTCTTCTCCTGTCTGTAATCTGGAGGTATATCTTTGAGCTGAAGGGAACATATTGTACCTCCTGCTGCTAGGAAATCATTAGTGTGGTGTTTTCACTGTGTGTGTGTGTGTGTGTGTAATATAACAACTGTTTCTTTGACGGCAGATCTAATGAATATTCTGTTGTCCTACAGCTGATTTCATGTTTACATGCTGTGTGCTTATTCTCAAAATCTGGTGAAATATCAGCTTCTAAAATATCAGTTTTTCTTTCACAGATTCTTCCTGCCCTCTGTGTACTCATATATCATACAGATATAAATGTAAGTACAAGATGTAAAAAAATTAAATTCTAAAGCAGAAGTGTTGCTCTTAAAGGTGTCATCGGATGCCCGTTTTCCACAAGTTGGTATGATTATTTAGGGTCTTCATGTAAAGTTTGTAACGTACTTTGGTTAAAATTCCTCAATTCCAATTTTGGAAAATTCCAAAATTCCTCTTTTTACCTCCTCAAAAACAGCTCTGTTCACACCGACCCCTTTCGGTGCATGTCTCTTTAAATGATAATGAGCAACTGCTCACCCCACCCCTCTCTTCCATGGGGCGGAAATATTCTAATATGGGAAATATGCTAATACGGGACAGTCCCTCGGTGGTTGTGGGCGGAGCATGAGCAATATGACATCCTATTGCTCAGAAAATCCAAACGGCTTGATTATTACGACTGTTTAGGCTTTTTGAAGATTAAAAAAAAGGAGAGAATGGATTTTTTTCATTGTATGGTGGTTGTGTCCACACACTGTAAAGACACATTTATGTGCAAACACCATATAAAAGTGAATTTTGCATCCGATGACCCCTTTAATTGAATTATGAGTGTAGTAAATCTGTTTTTAGTCTCTTTACTAAGTGATAACGTACAACCAGCTGGTTATTATCGCACAGTAAACACGGAGTTTATTTGAACCTCGATGTGACTCGAAGGGTTATTGTATTGTTTTGAAGGACTTTATTTTGCAACAATTGGCTGACTGTACATTTATCCCAGTTATTGTATGGCTACTTATCAAATAAATATACATTTAAACTAAAATCAATGTTTTGTTAATGTATCTCAGCTTCCGCTAAGTAAGAAAAATAGTCCATTTGACATCACAGTACAACAACTGACCAGTCTGAGAGCTGTGCAGTAAATGATAGAAACCGAGTCTTGACTGAGACTAATTTAGAATACTAAAATCTTTTTCTTTCTCTAGATTCTGGTAGACACTGTGTGGGCTCTGTCGTATCTGACAGATGGAGGTAATGAGCAAATTCAGATGGTAATAGACTCAGGTGTTGTCCCCTTCCTTGTCCCACTGCTCAGCCACCAAGAGGTCAAAGTTCAGGTAAAAAATAATGCAGATTTGTCTAGTTGTTTCCGCTGAAACCCGAATCTGGTTTCTGATAGTGTTTGTGTATCCTCATTAGACCGCAGCGCTGAGAGCGGTGGGGAACATTGTAACCGGGACGGATGAGCAGACTCAGGTGGTGCTCAACTGTGATGTCCTCTCTCACTTTCCCAACCTGCTCACACACCCCAAAGAGAAGATCAACAAGGTGAGACAAACACACACATCCCATCGGATCCCATTTGTGTGAAATGTAATCAAGATGATGAAACCCAAACATTTACTTGCCTAATTTCTTAAATGACTCCAGAAATCTCCCCAAACCCGGTGTAAGCACTGTGGCGCATGTTTAGAGTACATCTGTGATGTGTCTGTTCTTCCCTGCAGGAGGCAGTGTGGTTCCTGTCCAATATAACAGCAGGTAACCAGCAGCAGGTGCAGGCTGTAATAGATGCTGGTCTCATACCCATGATCATTCACCAGCTTGCCAAGGTAAGACTTTATCTGCGTAGCCTGCTATACATCCACTTTTTCCCCTTTTGCAGTTTAGCATTAACACCACCAAAAGTCTGAGACCACATGTAAAAATGCTTCTATTTTGCGTTTTCCTATTTTATTTTTATTACAAATTATATACAAATTAAATATCTTAACACTTAATATTTCTTATAAATTTTATGTCATAATGCTGTTTCTTTAAAGACATAACTTTATTTTTAAGTTAAAATTATCTTTTAAATCCAAGCAATATCTAGGGAGTAGAATATCCTAAAGACTTGGGATTGGGTCTTATTTGACTTGGGCCAATAAGCAACCACTCAAAACACCTTATAATTGACATGAACCACTCCTACTTTCTTCAGAAAATGTAAAAACCTAGTAGTACTATGATTATTTAACTTTTAATAATCTGTTGTATGGCATGTGAAGTAAATTCTAAAGCATGAATCTTGACTCTTGGAAGAGTCCAGTTTAGACACTCCCCCAACTAAACAGTGATTTACCTTGAATTTGAAGTCTCATACATGTATCTTGGTTTTTCAAAACAGGGTGATTTCGGAACACAGAAGGAAGCTGCATGGGCCATCAGCAACTTGACAATAAGTGGAAGAAAAGATCAGGTTTGAACCATTTGCAATGAATCTTGGATTTAGAGCCACTTTCCCTTCATTTCATTGGTTATTTTGCTGCAATCGGCAGGTGGAGTACTTAGTGCAACAAAACGTGATCCCGCCCTTCTGCAACCTGCTGTCAGTGAAAGACTCTCAGGTGGTCCAGGTGGTTCTTGATGGACTGAAAAACATCCTCATCATGGCTGGGGAGGAAGCCAGCACAATTGCTGAGATCATTGAAGAGTGTGGAGGTAATGCATGCAGCGTAGGAATAGGTTGTCATGGTTCCTTCATATTTCGACTGGTTGTATTCTAAAAGATGACCAGTAGTCTGAAATGATCACACCTGTACATTCACTGATGTTTTTACTTATTTTGTAGAAAAAAAAGATGATCAGTAATAGTCTTGCTTCTGACTTTCAGGATTGGAAAAAATCGAGAACCTACAGCAGCATGAAAATGAGGACATCTATAAACTTGCATTTGAAATCATCGATCAGTACTTTTCAGGAGACGATGTGAGTCTTGTTTCATGGCATGTCTCTGTATACTGCTTGACAATAACTTTCAGTTTATATTCTAAGCACGGACTGCAGTTTTGTCGTCTGCCACTTTAAATGGATTGGAGTGGATTTTGCAGGGTTCCCACTCATCCTGGAAAACCTGGATAATTGATGACAAACTTTCCAGTCATGGAAAACATATGGAAAATTAGAGAAAGTGTAAAATGTCCTGGAAAATCTTGTTGTTGTCCTGGAAAATTATTTTTAAAAAAGTTATTTGTTTTTTATTTAGGTGAGAACAAAGAGTTTTTCACTGGCCAAAAACAACTACCGTTAGTTGCAGAAAGTACAATGTTCTAATAATTAATAATTTTGATGTGATTATAAGGTCAATAAGATATTAATTGTGCACTGTATCCAGCTTCATTGAGTATAACAGGAGTTTTCACAACAGTGCTGAACTCTGTGAGCTAGCGCTGAAGTGATTGACAGCTGTAGTGATTAAAAAAGGAACGCTCTTTGTTTGCTATCTGCATATAACCCATTTGCAGTTTGAAAAAAGTTTTATTTTTCATGCTGCTATGTATATACACACTGCAAAGTTTTGGGAATGACTAACTTATTTAAATGTGGGATTGAATCCAAAATTTTATTAATTGACATGGTGATAACCAGCATTGGATGGGACAAAAAATTCTGATGTCAAAATAGATGTGTGCATTAAGTGTAAATGCTCGTCCACACGAAGACGCGTTTAGCTGTATATGTAAAAACTTTGTATCATCAGCGTTTCGATACAAACAGATCCGGAGTTTAGGGATCCTAAAACGCCGGATAAAAACTAAAAAGTACATTGGACACAGGACTAAGACTAAATAATAATAAAAAAAAATGCTTACAAAATGCATGACACTAACACTAATAGAAAGGCACTCTGCATCTGCTAGACTAGGTAGTGGAGGGGTCTACAGTTAAAGGCATGTTGTACTACTTTAATTTAGAGTGTGTGATGCAGACTATTGAGAATATTGAGCTGAAGCTTGACTTCACAAAAATGTAATCGCAAATCAAATCGCAATCGCAGTATCTGTCCGAAAAATCGCAATTAGATATTTTCCCCAAGATATTTTCGCACAGCCCTAGCTTTCATAGTCATAATGTATGATTAAGAGCTCATATTAAAAAGTGATTTTATAGTTAAGTCATGGCAATAAACTGTACGCCTTTTAAAGATTTAGAGAGCAATATATTACTTTAGGGCGTGATCCTTGTCTTTTTTTCCCGTCATAGTAAAATTGAAAATGTCCTGAAAAAGAGTGGGAACCCTGTTTTGATTCATCAGCTGGGGAAAAAAAAACATTCTGAAAGTGATTTCTGCGATATCTTTCCTCTGTGGTTATCGGTATACTTGTGGTTTGGACTTCCCATTTTCATAGAATTAGAGCGACTATTGCAACTTTACAGTTGTAGTAATCATTCTAGTTATTGTCCTTGGTATAAACTGGCCTTAATTCTTTTTGGCTCTGCTTGTAGATTGATGAGGACCCCAGCCTGATTCCTGAGGCCACCCAGGGAGGCACATTTAATTTCGATCCAGCCTCCAACCTTCAAACCAAGGAGTTCAAGTTCTAGACAACCAGAGCTTCGAACTCAGGAACGGTGGGTTTCCCAGCTGCTCCTCAACCCCTGCCACCTACTGACCCATCATCTACCAACCACTCACTAACCAGAAAAAACAACCAATCACCACGCTCAAACGACACTCGCTCACACAGAAGAAAATAGCACTGAAGGTTCTGAGTACCTGTCTCAACGCCACTCAAAACACGGATGGATCTCAACAACCTCAAGACATGGAAGAGAAAAAAAACAAGATTATACTGCAGTTGCCAAAAAAAGAAAAGAAAAAAAAGAGATATATTTTGCTCTTCTTTCACTCACTCACACACATAGGTGAGCATGAACAATAATAGGAACTTCTGTTGTTGTACCAGCCATCATATCAGCCAAGGAAGATGAAAGAAAGAGATGTTCCTGAAATAAAATAAAAAAGCAGGGATTTTTCTTTTTTTTCCAAGAAATTCCTTCCCTCAAAACATTGCATTTCTGGTGATGATCTTCGAGTCTCAGACAGACGTCCAGCCTCTACTGTGTTAAGCCATTTGGACCCCCTCCCTCATTCATCTGAATCTGTGACCTAGCCTATAATGGGTTATTCCATGGAATATAATTCAAATGGGGGAAGGGAGTGTCTCTAAATATGTGGTGTGCAAACAGAACTTAAATTATCGCCACAAATTCTTGCTTTTTCTTCAGCCTGAAATTATGGATATTTAAAAAACAAAACACTGAAGATAATGAAGAAAAAAATTGTCAGCAGATCACACAAACTTAAATGGAGAAAATCTCATCTGAGACGGTCAAGCACCCTCATTTTGAGTTATCAAGTTCTGCAGCGATAGTGTAGTGGACATTCATTGTGCCGATCTTTTTGGTTTGCAATTGGACTGTCGGATGTGTCAAAGGAGGATCCTATTTGAGATGATCATCAGTCCCAACCTTTGGAAGTTCATTGAGATCACCTTAACAGGTCTTTCTGCTTAACAAGAGTGCTCTGGCAGCGCTCTTTATTTTCTGGATTCAGCTTCTCTACTTCCTGTCTGTAACCATAGTAATAAGTTCTTTGGGACGAGCCCAATTGTAACCGGTTGGAGGATATTTTCACTAAATCACTAAATTCAGGACTCGGTAGTCAAAACCACAAGGAACTTTGCAACAGTGATTGGATTGTGAATTCTTTTTTTGTTTTGATCAGTGGAGCTTCCGCTTTTGCAGTTTTTCCAGTCTTACGCGCACACACTTTTGGGTTGTTCCCGTTTTATTGCTTAATGTAAGTGGAGAGCGATGTTCGCTTAATTTTGACTATACAAGCAATGGGAAAAGGAGATCCATGACATTGTGGGTCCTTTTTTTTTTTTTTTAAGTTTGTTTTTAATCTTATTTCACTTGCTACAAAACCTAATCGTACCAACTAAAAATATAATTATATTTCTTGTTTAGGTATATAATGAGAAGCTACCACACTTAGGTCCACTAGACGTTGTTGGGACGCTACAGAACAATAATAACATTGTGATTATTGATTTACAGCCATTAGGGGTATCTCTTTTGTTTGTTTGTTTTAACTTTTTTGTTTTGTAATGACAAATGATTGCCATTATTTGGAAAATGGGCTTTCTTACTGTTGTGACTGGACTTTATTTTTTTGTTCTTTTTCCCTGTGCATTAACTTGTAAAGGGATGTATGGGGAAAAATTGCCGTTGGACTAAAGTAGTTGTGTTTGGGCCGCAAACTGCTGAAAAGACAGTAAGGAAGCTAAAGGCAGCCCTGATGATTTTTGAATTAGCCATTTATTGTTGAACAAAAAGAAAAAAAAACTGGTTTGAAATTCATGGACTTATCTAGACAACTAGAAAACGAGCCACTTTAAAGAAGTTTTGTCTTGTATCAGAAATGGATACAAGCGTATTGCTTGTTGCAAGATTTTTACTTGCTGAAGAAAAAAATTAATCTAAAAAAAGCGACAGATCGCATTTTGGCCTCTGATTGTTTGTATGTTTTTATAAATTTTAGAACTGAATTTCTCTTTAAGGTGGCTCATCAGTATTTTTTTTTTCAACTCTTGTGCATATTAAAGATAAAGAATGAGTTGAAATTCATTGTGCCTTTTGTTTTTCATTTCAAAGCAACTAAAAAAGGTTCATAATGCCTACCACGTTGCATTGGAGCTGCTTATAATATTGGGGTCTTTTGGGTGTTATATCTGCCTATCTCTGGACTTTACGATGAGATGTTCTCTGGAGTAGAGTATAACTCTAATTAAATTATCCTCTAGTCTGCTGGCTGACTTGTAATTGATCCCCTTAACTTGCATTCTGCTCCCTTTTCATTCTTTTCATATGGATCACAATTATAAACCCCTTCAACATACCCACCCCTCCCCCTTTCTATGGCAACACATCTTTCACTCATCACTCCCTCAGGACGTGCTTATGTATCAATGAACCTAACCAAAATAAACTTGCTGTTAGCCATCCTTTTTATTGCTCTCTTATGATTGACCTTTTGATGCTTTTGTCTCTCTTCTCTTTTACCCGTTAGCAACCTTTCCTTCTTGTCCCTGTTCTGTGCATTTAATTTGTCTTTCTATTCATGATTCGCTTTCTCTCTTTCTAATGTGCAATAGCTCAGTGTTATTTATCATGAGAGTTTTAAGGGAGAGATTGGTGCTAAATGAGAATCTCACCTGTGTCCGCACCATGCGGAAATCCATTATAGGGTAAATGGTTACATTGGTGATGTGAAATATGTAAGTTCTAACATATTGCTACTTAAGAACTACAATTACCACAAGTATGATAGATAAGATAAGAAAACTTTATTGTTTATAGCTTATAGCCATGATGGATCAGACAAGCGTTGTAGTCCTTATGGAGCAACTTGCTCCCAAGTCCCAACCTACTTTTTTTTAAAGTTGGTTTAAAAATGTAGAACAAAATGTGTAATTTTAATCATAAGTTGAAAATGTGTCCATGTGGTATTCCAAATGGCATTCATGGCTAATTAAATTTCTGCGTTGGCCTACAAACTGACGCCAAGACACTGTTTTAAGTGGAATATTTTACAAGTATATACGTACGATGTACGTTGAATATAATTAAGAAGTAATGGCGAAAAGATTACTCAGTGAAATAAAACATGATAAATTGGCGCCAAAACATGTTCTGTTGGGTGACGTGGACGGAATGAAGTGGAGAGAGTTCTGCGCGAGCCTATGGCTGCAAAGCTCCACCGTTAGAACGATGGGCGGAGTCGAGATGTCATTCAACCAACCACTGGGAACTTATCCAAACGTGCACTGAGTCTGACTCTGTATAGTCAAGTCAAGTGTGTATAATGGCAGAAGCCGTTGAACCCGTACTTTTCACTAAAGTAACGGTTTATTCTCTACTCGCGTGTGTGGCTCAATTTGCTGTCGGGTTTGCTTTCGCGCAAAAATGGGGGAATAAATGTTCAGCTGGTGATCGGTGGGTCCTCGTGTGGTTATTTTACGACGCAATAGTTCATTTTACTCTGGTAAGTATAAAGGTGCATTGCTCAAGAACGCTTTCGTTACCTGCCTGTAAACTCCCCGCTCGCCTCTTGTCTGTTTCACCGTGCAGGAGGGACCCTTCGTCTACATGTCACTTGTTGGAAATGTAGCAACTTCTGACAATCTGTTGGCAGAACTATGTGAGTATGCTGTGTTGCAACAGTCATCACCTAAAGGAAAATAACAGGTGATTCGCGCTGATTAAACTGTTTGCTCAGGTGTAGAGCCGTTGACTTAGGTTTAGTCAGGTGGAAGAAGAAGAATTTGATTTTAGACGAATAGAGTAGTCCGACATCTAGTGGTGTTTGTTTGTATTATGTTTAGCAAGATTAGTGCAATGTTCAAAGTCCATTCATTCACTGACTGAACATAAGAGATTCTATAAAATAAATCAATTCAGAAATTGTGAAACTATTTTGACTTTAGTTTAAAAAGTAGTTCTGCCTACAGTTAGATTGTCATCATGTACTCGCACTGGTATCATTCCCCACCCCACACAAAAAAAGATGTAATACATATACAGTGCTCTAAAAGGACAAAAAATGGCACCATAACTAGTCTACTACTTTTGTGCTTTGTTTCAAGACTAAGCAATAGTTTGTGTCCATAGTATGTATTGAGACCGTAAATGGCAATTTTTATTTTTGGTTGCTCTGTTCCTTTAAATAATTTTATAACTAGGTTAAAAACTAAGTATACGTTGCCATTCTCACATAATTATTATTGTTGACTGTCTTCCTGAAGCCACTTCCTTGAATGCAGTTCCATAACTTTGTCTATTAACCATGGAAATGTAACTTCTACTTTGCATCGTCTTATGAATGTAATGCATGTTACTGTTTAGGGTTAGTTCACCCAAAAATTAAAATTACTCACCCTCATGTTGTTCCAACCCCGTAAGACTTTCGTTCATCTTCGGAACACAAATTAAGATATTTTTGAAGAAATCTGAGAGCTGTCTCACTCCTTCATAGGCTGCTTGGTAATTTCATCTGCCGGCCCAGAAAGTTAGTAAAGACATCGTTAAAATAGTCCAAGTGACTACAGTGGCTCAACCTTAAGTTTATCAAGTGACGAGAACACTTTCTGTGTGCAAAAAACAACAACAAAAATAACGACTTTATTCAACAATTTTTTTTTTATTTTTTATTTTTTTTGGCATAGGCATATGATTCATCTCTTTTTTTTTATTTTTATTTTTTTATTTTTTTATTAGACATTAGACATAACATACAAACAATAACATGACATCCAAAAAGACAACAATCCAAGATTTTCCAAAATTAGTTTAACATAAATAAGTAAGAGACTAAACTAAAGTATAAAGAAAAAAGAAAGAAAAATATAAAAAATAAAATTTAAATAAAGGGGCTAAGTTTAACTATGTGTATAATATAATAGCTACGAGAAAATTACAAACCAGTAATCAGTATTGAAGAAAATGAGAAACATCATATAATTCTTCACTGTTCAATTATCTTCAATTCTTTGGCAAATACAATTGTATCAGTGCATTTCTTATTATCTATACATTTAAGAGACTCAATATACAACATAAAATCAGCCAAAAAAACCTTCAAACAAGGCTTAGAATTATTAAATTTACACTTATGAATGTGAAATTTACCTAATAAAATCATAAGATTAATCATAAAATTTACAGATGTAGTTTTTGACTCAAAATATATGATAACATCTTTGGGTGTTAATACACAATTCTGACCTGATTTCCGTTGAAAATATATAGTTAAATTTTGGCACAATTTTTTTGAATGATGACATTAAAAAAAAAGATGTAGAGTTTTTTCTGGCTGATTCAGACAAAATGAACAATTCTCATCAATCTCCATAAATTTTGATAAAGTGTAATTACTAACATAAATGTTATGAAGTATTTTTAAGTGTATTTCTCTATATTTGTTAGGTATGCAAAACCGAAATGGAAGCAACCAAGCTTTTTTCCAGATAATCTCTGGGAAGCAAATATTCCAGAAAAATTTCCCTCTAGGCTGAAAAGACCTATTTTTATAAAATATATTTCTAATAAATTTATTGGAGCACTTTTTACTATTAAGGTCTACACCATTTAAATAAAGTACAGGATCACTTCTACATATGTTAAGGGATAACATATGGCTTCTCATTAACATCATTAGACCTGTGGGAATGGCTTTTATCACAGAATAATATTCTCTATATTTAATAGGAAATGCCCACTTATTCATAAAACTTTCATATGAAAGAAACTGAGCTGACTGATCTAAAAGGTCAGACAAAAGGTAAATTCCTTTGTCTTTCCAACTCTGTAAATAAAGAGATTTCCGATTTACTGTAATATAAGCATTATTCCACAAGATTGCTTTATGTGGGGAAAAGTTATGTACATCTTTATTCAACTATTCATTTTCTTCTGTGTGAGCCTCTGACGTGAGTTCACCAGAGCGCCACGACGCATGCGCGAGAACTGAGAAGAGAAGATGAACTGGAAAAAAAAGGAAACAAGACAGTGGTATATAACTAATTAGAAAAGATTACATATCAAAGGAAAAGATCAAAAGACTTACATATTTCAATTGTTTTTAAAACCACCTTGTCAGGGTCAGAGATAGTCCCAAAGTAATGTTGTGTTTCAGTAAGGAAAATATAGAAAAGTGGTTTCTGACCTGAAAATTTACATTTATGTATATCAAATTTTGTAAAAAAAAAAAAAAAAAAAAAAAAAATTAAGAATATTTTGATTTTGTGTAATTGCTCTTTTTTCCAATTAACAATTCCAAACAAAACATTTTCCCAAAGTAGAGAAAAATCCTTATCTATGTTCTCAATAACAAATCAGGAAAAGTCTTTCCACAATAATTTAGAGTAATGGCAAAGCCAGAATAAATGCACTATAGTCTCTGGGTGCTGTTTACAAAAAGAACAGTTTGCGTTAATACCTTGAATTTCTTTAAGAAGGTATTAACAGGATATACACGATGGACAATTCGAAAGGAAACTTCTCTTATCGTATTAGTAATTAAATATCTATTCGGAATCAACCAAACCTTTCTCCAGACAATATCGGTAAGAAAAGCATTCCAATAAACGGTGACATTTGGAATTGATACACATTCATTAAGGAATAATAAACGTATCGATCTATTAGAAGAAGTGGATGAAAAGCAATATTTCCCCACCACTGTAATATTAGGATCTAAAGGAGGTAAAGAAGAGGGGTAAGGGATATGTCGAAACAATTTAATAACTCCAGATGGTATGGCATCAAAAACAATCTAATAACTGCAGATGGTATGGCATTAAAAACAATAGCAAATTCTTTAGGGGTAATGGAAATGTTAAACGGTTAAGAAATTCCTCATAGTTTAATAAATGGCCATTTGCATTAAACAACTGACTTGCAAGCAAAATATCAGCCTTAAACCAGCGCTGGAAGAAAAGAGATTTGTTTTTATACAGAATATCACTGTTATTCCATATAAAATATTTGTGAGGAGAAAAGTTGTGCTTGTATATCAGAGACCAGGCGAGAAGGATCTGCTTATGAAATGTAGATCATTTAGCTGGTATTTTTTCAACATTATAATTACAAAGCAATAACAAATTTAAACCACCAAATCTGGAGAAAATATTATGTGGAATGAAGTTCCAAACAGAGGTTGGATTTTTGAGAAAGTGTTTGGCCCAATTAATTTTAAGAGTATTATTAAATTCCCCTTTGGCAAGTAATATTCTTCCCCTCAGAGATAAGTCTCTCTGCAGCCATAAATTAAATTTTCTTTGCGTTTTCTCCATAATAGGGGAAAAATTACATGCACATCTATCAATTCGATTTTTACATATAGAGATACCTAGATAAGATATCTTCTCTTTAATTGGAATATTATTAATTATAGTTGGGTTACATTGTTTAATTGAAAGTAGTTCACATTTAGACAAATTTTTAAAAAGACCAGAAGCTTTAGAAAATCTCTCAACAGTGCTGATTTCAATCGAGACCCAAGAGGCACCTCTTAAAAAAAGAGCAGTGTCATCTTCTAATTGGCTGATCTTTATTTCCCTTTCTGCAATGAGAATCCCTTTCAAGGCACTTATAATGAGAGAAACACTGATGCAATTACCAAGCAGCCTATGGAGGAGTGAGACAGCTCTCAGATTTCATCAAAAATATCTTAATTTGTGTTTCGAAGATGAACGGGAGTCTTACGGGGTTGGAACAACATGAGGGCGAGTAATTACTGGCAGAAATTTCATTTGTGGGTGAACTAACCCTTTAAAATACTCAACAGGGAAAGAATATGGCAAGGCAGATGAGCGCTGGTTATACTCAGACCCGACAATAGTATCTCTAGAACTTCTGACAGTGGTTTTAGATGGTTCTTTGGCCCTGCTTCTGGTCTATGCCATCATTAAAGACAAACACTACAGGTAAGTACAGTCATTTGTTTTAATGTAAATCCAATCCATGTGAGATCCATTAAGTCTAAATAAGAATTTACCTAATTGTGATCGTGCAATGTTTTGTCTTAAATTAATAACCTATTTTTAAATTAAAAATATCCATTTTATATACAGGTCCTTCTAAAAAAATTAGCATATTGTGATAAAGTTCATTATTTTCCATAATGTAATGATAAAAATTAAACTTTCATATATTTTAGATTCATTGCACACCAACTGAAATATTTCAGGTCTTTTATTGTTTTAATACTGATGACTTTGGCATACAGCTCATGAAAACCCCAAATTCCTGTCTCAAAAAATTAGCATATCATGAAAAGGGTCTCTAAACGAGCTATTAACCTAATCATCTGAATCAACTAATTAACTCTAAACACCTGCAAAAGATTCCTGAGGCTTTTAAAAACTCCCAGCCTGTTTCATTACTCAAAACCGCAATCATGGGTAAGACTGCCGACCTGACTGCTGTCCAGAAGGCCATCATTGACACCCTCAAGCAAGAGGGTAAGACAGAAAGAAATTTCTGAACAAATAGGCTGTTCCCAGAGTGCTGTATCAAGGCACCTCAGTGGGAAGTCTGTGGGAAGGAAAAAGTGTGGCAAAAAACGCTGCACAACGAGAAGAGGTGACCGGACCCTGAGGAAGATTGTGGAGAAGGACCGATTCCAGACCTTGGGGGACCTGTGGAAGCAGTGGACTGAGTCTGGAGTAGAAACATCCAGAGCCACCGTGCACAGGCGTGTGCAGGAAATGGGCTACAGGTGCCGCATTCCCCAGGTCAAGCCACTTTTGAACCAGAAACAGCGGCAGAAGCGCCTGACCTGGGCTACAGAGAAGCAGCACTGGACTGTTGCTCAGTTTTGCATGTCATTCGGAAATCAAGGTGCAAGAGTCTGGAGGAAGACTGGGGAGAAGGAAATGCCCAAATGCCTGAAGTCCAGTGTCAAGTACCCACAGTCAGTGATGGTCTGGGGTGCCATGTCAGCTGCTGGTGTTGGTGCACTGTGTTTTATCAAGGGCAGGGTCAATGCAGCTAGCTATCAGGAGATTTTGGAGCACTTCATGCTTCCATCTGCTGAAAAGCTTTATGGAGATGAAGATTTCATTTTTCAGCACGACCTGGCACCTGCTCACAGTGCCAAAACCACTGGTAAATGGTTTACTGACCATGGTATTACTGTGCTCAATTGGCCTGCCAACTCTCCTGACCTGAACCCCATAGAGAATCTGTGGGATATTGTGAAGAGAAAGTTGAGAGACGCAAGACCCAACACTCTGGATGAGCTTAAGGCCGCTATCGAAGCATCCTGGGCCTCCATAACACCTCAGCAGTGCCACAGGCTGATTGCCTCCATGCCACGCCGCATTGAAGCAGTCATTTCTGCAAAAGGATTCACGACCAAGTATTGACTATTGAGTGCATAACTTAACATAATTATTTGAAGGTTGAGTTTTTTTTTTGTATTAAAAACACTTCTTTTATTGGTCGGATGAAATATGCAAATTTTTTGAGACAGGAATTTGGGGTTTTCATGAGCTGTATGCCAAAATCATCAGTATTAAAACAATAAAAGACCTGAAATATTTCAGTTGGTGTGCAATGAATCTAAAATATATGAAAGTTTAATTTTTATCATTACATTATGGAAAATAATTAACTTTATCACAATATGCTAATTTTTTGAGAAGGACCTGTGTATATATATATATATATATATATATATATATATTTATTTATTTTGAACCAGGCACTTTGTTCAGATCACGCTGTGTGTGTGTGAGTTGTACGGGGGCTGGATGACCTTCTGTCCAGATTGGATAATCGGAAGCCCTAACCTGAACACCAGCAACTGGCTGTACCTGTGGGTCTACCTGGTGTTCTTCAACGGGATCTGGGTGCTGGTGCCTGGACTCCTCCTCTGGCAGTCATGGAGGGATTTAAGAAGAATGCATCAGTATCCAAAGAAGAAGAACAGATAAAATCAGAGCAAGCCTGATAATTAGTAATTAACCATATAATTATTAGGGGCCAAGCACCGAAGGTGCGTAGCTAGGCACCTATTGTAATCTTTAATGTTCTTATTCTTCTTCCTTTTCTTCTGCTCTGGAAGTCTATGGCAGCCCATAGAAACGCTTGTGGGAAAGTTATGAAATTTGGCACACAGATAGAGGACAGTCTGAACTGTCACCATAGCAAATTTGGAATCTCAAGACGATTCGATTGCACCCTATGACGTCATTTTCCATCACGAAAATGTTTCCGTCATTTTGAATTTTCCGAAAAGCCTACTTTTCCTCCTCCTAGGCCGTTGCTTTTTACAAATTTATCCAGATCATCTTCAGACAATGCCAACAAAAAGTTATGGAATTCAAGTTGATTTGTCAAACCGTTCTTGAATAGCGCGTGAACAATTTCAGCGAAGTGCCCGGAAAATTTAACATGACTCTAGCTTATTCTGACTAAACTTGATGTGTTATTACAACCATGACCTGAGGCTACCTGCACAGTTTCGGTGCAGTGCTACCTAGTGGTCAGGAGATCCGAAAAATGGCTTTTTTGGCTTATAACTTCTGAACAGTGTGCCCAAAATTCACAAAAGTTCTCTTTAGATTCAGATCAGCGTGTCGAGTCATATGATACCCAATTTTCCCATATCGGCCATCTTGAATTTTTTCCGTAAAATTCTATATTTTACGAACGCATTGGCGTATCGTTACGAAACTCGGTAGCCTATGTGTCTTCAGTACCATGCCATACCATACCATTGACAGTACTCAAAAAGATTCTGGCCAGTGGCACCTTGTGGTCAAAAGATACAATGAAATTTCCAAAAAGGATAATAACTTTTGAATAAGTTAGATTATTGGTATGAAACTGGTCTTAAAGGGATAGTTCACTTTGAAATTAATTTTTGGTATGTTTTAGCTTACCTCAAGGGCATCCAAGATGTAGGTGTCTTTGTTTCCGCAGTAGTTTCAATTTTGATATTTTTAGGTCAAACCGTTCTTGTCTGTCAGTCATATAATGCAGGTCTATGGTCACCACCTCAAAGAGCATGCACAGAGAAGTCCAAATTAAACATGATTTAATGACTTGTAAATGTAAGTACACATTGATGGCCTAAGACACGAAACGAGCGGTTTGTGTGAGAAAACGAACAGTATTTATATAGTTTTTACCTCTTATAACCACAGTCACGTCCAAGTGATCTGCGGGCGCTTCGGTACAAGGTGCTGCTGGCCAGAATCTTTTTGAGTACTGTCAATGGTATAGCATGGTACTGAAGACACATACCGGGTTTCGTAACGATACGCCAATGCGTTCGTAAAATACAGAATTTTACGGAAAAAATTCAAGATGGCCGATATGGGAAAATTGGGTATCATATGACTCGACATGCTGAAATTAATTTCAAAGTGAACTATCCCTTTAATGGATCCCTTGGGTCATGCTGAGAACATGGATACCAATCTTGCCATTGTCAGCCTTCCCTTCCTGTTATTTGTTTTGACTTTCTTTAAAAACGTACTTTTTCGAACTCCTCCTAGACCATTTGTCCGATTTTCACCAAATTCGAGTCAGATCATCTTCAGACTGAAAAAGTTATAAATTTCATGTCGAAAGACGAAACTCTTTTCGTTGGCATGACTTGTGTTCTTTGTGCTTGGCCCCGATAATTGCTGCTTGCTGCTATATTTATTATTGCAGTTATAATCAGTCTCTTAAACTCAATAGAATGAGATGTATAAACTGGGTGTGATGCAGTTGAAGTATTATACACATTTATTGGATACACAGAGGAACGCTCGTTATCTTTGCATAATTGCAGTGGTAAAGACACAAAGGAAGCTCACACAAACTACTAACTCATAGCAACATAATTTTTCTTGTACTATCTGCATTCCTGTCTATGACAACCTAAAACTGAATCCCTTGTGTTGCAGTAGCTCTTTTACACCTTTCTAGGCCCATGTTTCCCTGCTAATCCTTACCAAACTACCTTATCCAGTATGATAGAAACCACAAATTGATTCCATATGACTATAAAAAGTTATGCCAGTTTGTTTCATCACACTTGTTTGCTTCTCCTTAATATAAGGATGAATCATGTTTCTTTTTACACAGACTGTGGTATTGAGTTGGCTGTTTTTCTTGCCAAGTTATGACAGCATAATTATTTTCCTGCTGTATTTTGGTCATAGTCCGTTATATGCAGGTCTGACTAAGAAATAAGTTTAAGGAATTACTTCATCATTGTAATTTCAGATACTAACTTGCTACACAATTTAGGCATTGCAATTTCACTACAGCTTCATGTGTAAATAATAATGCAATTTCATTATTTTATAGATAGTGTACAATAAGGTTCCAATTGTTAAAATGAGTTAACTACATCAGTTAACATGTCTGAACATGCCTAACGTTTATTCATCTGATTTAATGTTAATTAAACATTTACTAATACATTAATAAAATCAAATGTTGTACCTGTTAATATTTAATTGAGTTGGCATGAACTAACAATGTTTTATTTTTATTAACTAGTGTAAACAAAACTATACTGTAACGCATACAGTGCTTATTGTAGTTAATGTTAGTCAATGCATTAACTAATGTTAACTTATTGGACATTTTTGTAAAGGGTTCCCCTTTTTAGAATGAAATTGCATTTAAAAAGCACCTCGTTTCTATGAATTGCGCTCAAGTTTTAATTATTATTTCAAAATTATGTATAGTATCACATGATTGTCATCAAAATTTTTGTGACAATCTGTACTACAGGAGACACATGAACAGGGCATTAAATTACACAGACACACACATATATATATATAGATGCAGTGCAGAACATGAAGACAAGTAAAAAAAACATAATATTTACAGGATACAAAAACCGTGAACAAGTGCATTCGTTAAATCAGTCAGTCATCTTTCCTCTCCATTCTTGGTGTGGTTTTAGTATGATAGTACCATGATCAAACCTCTTTACTTTGCGTTCTGAGGTTCCAATTAAATAAAAGGAGACTGTCAAGATACTATAAGTTTGAACTGCATTTTTTGTTTTCCCTAGATAGTGAGATAGTACCTTCCTTACGCTTTATGTAGTAGTTTAGCTATAGAGAGAAAGGCTTGTTGGAGACCCAGTCCCTTCATGGCGCTGCAAGCTTGGATCTCCCAAACCCGATCTGTGTAACTATCCAGTTCCAGCAATGTCGACACGTCTCTAATAGTCATAGAGTTTGGCAGATCTTTCTTGTTGGCCAGCACCATCAGGGGAACTCCTTTCAAATGCTCATCACTCAGAATCTTCTTCAGGGCTTTCTTAGCTTCTCCCATTCTGGCATGATCACTGCTGTCCACCACAAACACCAGTACTTTACATCCCTCCAGGTAGTATCTCCAATTGGGCCTCATAGTCCCCTGTCCCCCAACATCCCACACGGTCAGTGAGGTCTTCTTGTTCAACTCTACAGTTGCAACATTAAAGCCCACGGTAGGAGAGGTGTCCATCAGCACTCCCCTCTGCTGTCTGTACAGCAAAGTGGATTTTCCAGCTGAATCCAGACCCATGAGGACAACCTGAGGAGTCTTTTTAAACTGTTTAGACTTAATGGCACCCATCCTGGTTTGAAAGACGCGTTCCTGTTTAAACTTGCTTATCTCTGTACCTTCAAAATGGCATCTGGCACCAGGATCCTCGATTTCTCTCTTCTACTTCTGTTTTCCTGTGATATCATATGCAAAGTAGAAGCGACACTGTGAACTACTACAGCTGAAATTATAGCTCAGGACTGAGCGTGTGATACTGCCAGACGAGTTGGTCAAGATTTTTAAACAGGTTTGTCAACTTTTCATGCGGGCCAACCTTCTCGGGGAATCCCAGAAACTAAACTGTACTGTAAATATAAATGATCCTGTCGCTATGCTTGAATGTACAGTCAATGAATGAATGGGCAGGAAAAAGTCTACTCTTAAACTAAAAAGTGTATATATACTGTACACACACACATACATACATACATACATATGTAACCCCTTAGGTCCTACTCACTCCGCTCTGTGCGGGCCTCGAATCCCGGTCTCCGGTATGGGAGTCGGACACTCTAACAAGGAGGCTTAATATTGCAGTCTCTAGAGCACCTCTTAAGATCAGGGGAGTGAGGTTTATGTACAGCTCTTACTAACTGACTTCTGTTACACTCACCCCCCTAAACATCACTCCCATCTGGGTCACGGCACCAATGTAACCCCTCAGGTCCTACTCCCCCCGCTCTGTGTGGCCTCGAACCTTGGTCTCTGGTGTGGGAGGCGGGCGCTCTTAACAAGGAGGCTAAAGACCATAGTCTCTACTAGCTGGCTTACATACATTAAATATGTACTGAAATTAATGTTATGATTTCACTTTTCTAACTTTAGTTTGTGTGTAATGTTGCTGTTTGAGCATAAACAACATCTGCAAAGTTATGACGCTCAAAGTTCAAAGCAAAGGGAGATATTTGCTTTTAAAGAAATAGCTTTTTAAGCATTACAACAAACAGCTGGTAGGGACTACATGACATTCCTCCTGGGTTAGTGACATCACCAACCCTAGAATTTACATAAACCCCGCCCCTTGAATACAATTTATAGATTATCAAGACAGAATATACTAATGACTAGAAGATAGCTACACATCAGCTACACAAATTCATCAACTAACCAATCAGAAATGTCCTGTTGCATTCTACATGTTGTCACTTCTTGAGTCGCTCCATCATTGACTCAGGTTTGAACATAAAACGTAAAATGACGCAAGCTGTTGAAGCTCCACCCTCTGTGCCGGGAGCAGCGGTTCATTTACATTTAAAGAAACGCACACAAAACGGTGCGTTTTTGCTCACCCTCAAAAAGTGACAATTTTAACATGCTATGACCAAAATGGTGAACGTGATTTCACCAAGTACCACATGTTCCTGGATCAACTTTCCAATCAACCAATCAGATTTGAGGGACAAGTTTACAGTTTATGTCAAGTTTAGGCTTAGAACCAGAGTGAAGTACTTAAACATCAGTGTTATTAACCTTTCATTACCATATGAAAATATCTGGGGGGCATTTTGAGCTAAAACTTCACATACACACTCTAGGGACATCAAAGACACATTTTACATCTTGTGAAAAGGGCATTATACCACCCCTTTAATCATTATTCCACTTTATCTCCTACCTACTCTTACTAGCCAATCAGTGGAGTAGGAGTGATTTACAAGAAGTCTGTGATTGGACAGTTTAGCCGTCGTTCACGCATCCGTAGCAACCGTGATCAGGAAACAAGTACGTTTGTTTCCTCGCTGACGTGAACGCGCTTCCGTGGGCATATCCTGCTGGCGCTGCAGCCTGAAAGCATTTCTAGAGGTACTGGACTGGACAACTCGCTAATTAAATGGTCTCGACGTCCTGTAGAAATTAGGTAGGTTTTGCTGCGTTGACTTGATGATAACCGTTTTTCTGTAGGCTGAATCCACCTCATGTCCTGATGGAGCGATGCCGGAGCTGTCAGGCTAACCGAGCATTAGTAACGCGAGCCTGCAAGAAGATACGTTTGAACCGATTCCTTTCACATGGACATTAAACACAGGCAGATAGTGGTTTCCGCTGTTTGTTTGTTTGTTTTGTTTTAATGCTATTTGCTACAAGGTAGTGACTGATCCCTCATCAGCTGTAAAAGTGACAATGGAAGCTGGAAGTTACGTTAGCTAACGTTAGTGAGTTTTGCAGCAGTTTCGTCGTTATAAACGACTGTACCGAAGTGTTTCAGTGACAAAGCAACTGGCAAATAGGCTTTATGAACCATCAGTTCTGTACTGTATCACACACAAAAGTTTTTTTGTACTTGCTTAAATTGTGTAAGTGTGTGACAACTGCTGTGTTACAGTGGTAAAAGACCTTAGACTACTACTAGAGCAGTGGGAAGCTGTCATCCTTGTTAAGGCAATTAACATCAGGTTGATCCAGGGAGGATGACTTGCAAAACCTGTTTGGAGAAATTATTTCATTGCAATTGAACAACAAAACATAATTCTGGCGTGTAACATATACCTCATCTGAAACTTCTCTAAACTATACTTGTATTTTTAAAATAATTATAAGTATTAAGACATTACATGAAATAGTATTACTGTTAAACAGTCCATATGTAACTGAACTATTTAAGTGCAACTAAAAAACTAAAATGTGATTAAGGTGTGGATTTTAATAAACACTTCCCTAAGTCAACCCACCTTTATTATATAGCACCTTATACAATGCAGATTGTTTCAGCTTTACAGTAATAAACAGGAAAATAACAGAATCAATGATGCAGACTTCATCAAACCTGAGACAAATTAAAACTTTGCTGTCATTATTCAGTTCAAGTCAGTTCATTTTTGATTCAGTTCAGTTCAATAACTTGTTCATCAATTATGAAATTAGTTTAATTCAGCTATAACCAGCTTTACAGAAGACAATAGTATCATTATTCAGCTTGATTCAGTTCACTTTTGATTCACTAACGTTGTTGATGTTGCAAAATTCAGCAATTAATAAACAAAGTTGATTCAGCTAAAAAGCAGCTCTGCAGAAGACAGTAGCGTCATCATCCAGCTCAATTCAGCTCAAATTTGGTTCTAATGCAGTAATGCCAGTGCAGTTATATCCCTACGAATCCCTGACATTTAACATGTGTGTCCAGTTTCAAAGGCACACATAGTTGCCGGGTATCTTCAGGTGTCTTCTCGTCTCCAAAGCCTGTCCCCTGCACTTGGCCATGGTGGATGTGAGTAAGTGGCCTCTCTTCACCCTCTTGAGTGCACAGGAGCTCGCCTCCATTCGACAGGCATGCATCTTTGGAGTAGCTGCTAATGAGGCCATCTACATCACCCACAATGACGAAGTAAGCTGATGAAGAAACCAATAGTATCTGTGTGGGTCTTGGTGGTGTAAGCTTACATGACCCGTTTCAGTAGTTTGTAGTAATGAAATAAAGGTTCGCAAAAGGCTTCTGTACCTTTATATGAAAACTAATCTGAATGTCCTGGCACAGGTGTATGTGTTAGGTGTGAACTGCAGTAACTGTCTGGGCACTGGAGACAGTCAGAGCACCATTGTTCCTAAAAAGCTGGACTGTCTCAGTGGAAAGAAGCTGGTCAGTTTGAGCTATGGCAGTGGTCCTCATGTTCTGCTGGCCACAGACGGTGAGTAGTTCTGTTCAATATCTAAATCTGATTAAATCTAGTTCTAGTGAAGGCGTAATGTGAAATTACTTATTTGTCTCCAAACAAAGTTGTCAAGTAACATGGTTGCATTACAGTTCTATCTAAATAGATGTATGTATGTATTTGACACTTTTGTCTTATTCAAAGTCCTTTTGTCTCCTTACAGAGGGGGAGTTGTATGCATGGGGGCATAATGGATACAGTCAGTTGGGCAATGGGACGACCAATCAAGGTGTGTCTCCCGTTCTGGTGTCTGCTAACCTGCAGAACAAGAGGGTGACTGAGGTGGCCTGTGGTTCTCACCACTCTTTGGCTCTGACCCATGAGGGTGAGGTGAGGCTTGGGAACTGTTTTGGCGAAATGGCTTGGGAACTGCATGAGCATGGAAGCCCATTTCTGCCACATAAGGAAAACAAGTGCTTTGTTAAATCATAATGACATCAAAAGTGGAAATTGAGACAAGTGATTAAAGATTTACCGAAGTATAATTTGACATAATTTTAAATTATGAGATACTAAGTCATAATTCTGAGAGAAAAGTAAAAAAATTATGACATAAAACATTGCAGTTATTAGATAAAGTGTCGAAATTATCAGATAAAAAGTGAAAATAATAAGTATGACATTACAGGTTGAAATTGAGCTTCTAAGTCTATTATGAGATAAAAAAGTCAAAATTATTACATTCTTTTTTTTTTGTTATAATTATGACTTTTTATCTCATACTTACTTCTTGTCTTAATTGAATTTATCTTATAATTTTGACTTTTTTATTTTAATGACTTATCTCATAATTTCAACATGCCATAATTATGACTTATCTCATAAGTTAGACTTTTTATCTCAATTGCATCTTTTTATTCCGTAATTATTATGACTTTTTTTTTTAGCCATAAGAGACTGCAGATTTAACCTAATATCGATTAGTCAGCCACTGTGACCCATCTGTGGCACAAGATGAGTATATGTTGGTTGACAAGTTTATCTACCGTGCTTTCTGGAAAATAAGTGGCACCTAACTGTAAGTTGCACCAGCTCATTTAGAATAATGTGAAATACCACTAAATAAAATGTAATGTTTACAGACATTATAAACATTATACACATGAAATACCCAGATTTATTGCCCAACTTATTGAAGCACAGCCATGTCTTAAACTGGTGGCATGCTGGGAATCTAATAGCATTGACTAAAATAGTTTCAGAATATAGGAATATCTTAACTTTGCTCTGTGTCACATGCTAATCCCATAATCCAAGCAAAATCCTTCCTGTTTATTTCGCATATAACAATTTCCCTTTTATCAGTCTCTTTAGAAAGCACTGGGTTAAAAATGTAGGTTACATATTAAAGGGTATTAGATGGATTTAGGTTTGACAAACCCCTCTTCTCTCTCCCCATGTTTAGCAAGTAGAGTTAGCCGCTTAGCTCGTCATGCTTGCTGTAATGAGGAGCATGTGACCTTTTTCTCTAAGCTGAGAGGGCTTTTGTTCTCAGTGGAACTGCCAAGATCAGCTTGTGTGTGTTTGTCTGTAGTAATAATTGATATTCAGCTTCATTAAATCTTCTAGATGTACAGTGAAATAGTATTTTCTATAGCAATGTATTTAAAAACATTGGCAGCCATGTTCATAGACAGCCAGGCTGGCGTTTTTATGAATGAATATTTGTAATTTAATGTCCCTGCTAATTATAAAGTTGTCCTAGGTGTTTGCATGGGGCTACAACAACTGTGGTCAGGTGGGTTCAGGGTCCACTGCCAACCAGCCAACACCTCGTAAGGTGTCCAACTGCCTGCAGAACAAAGTGATGGTTAGTATAGCCTGTGGACAGACTTCATCCATGGCTGTGGCGGATAATGGTGAGGTAAGGGATGAAATTAACCATTCATACCGCATTGTTTTTGTAAGGACCCAACCTGATGCTTAAAACATTGTGTTGATTATTTACTATTTAGTATGCATGTGTGTCATCTCATTTACTATTTAGTATGCATGTGTGTCATCTCACTGTAGCTGTGTCGCTTGCTTGTTAGTAGTGAAATGTGTGTTGGTGTTTCAGGTTTATGGCTGGGGTTACAATGGTAATGGCCAGCTGGGGTTGGGGAACAATGGGAACCAGCTGACTCCGTGTCGTCTGATTGCACTACAAGGCCTCTGTGTGCTGCAGGTACGGACCAGAAGATCTGCTATCTTCTTAAACAGATTGTCAGCTGTACATGTAACATACTAATATACACTACTGTTATAACCACTCTTACTAAAGCCAAACCACTAAAGGTTTGGGTTTAGTAAGAGTTTTTTTTTAATGAAATAAATACTTTTATTGAACAATGATGCATACATTTGTTCAAAAGTGTCAGTGAAGACATTTATAATGTTACAAAAGATTTATCTTTCAAAAAAAAAATCCTGTTCTTCAAACTTTCTATTCATTAAAAAAATCCAGCAAAACATTTTTTTTTATGCAGCACAACTGTTTTCAACATTGATCATAAGCAATGTATCTTGAGCACTATAACAGGATATTAGAATGATTTCTGAAGGATCATGTGACACTGAAGACTGGAGTAATGATGCTGAAAATTCATATTAAAATAGAAAACGCCTTTTTTAATTTGTGATATTATTTCACAATATTACTTGGGTTTTTTTTTTTACTGTATTTTTGATCAAATAAATGCTGCCTTGGTGAGCATAAGATAAAAACTTTCAAAAACATAAAAAAAATCTGACTGGATTTTTTTAAGAATTGGCAACAATAAAGCAAGCATTTTGTTATTCTGCACAACCCATGCGACTATACAGATTTTAAAAAATGTAAGTGGGTGTAAAATATGTGCTTGTCACTTTTACAGATTGCCTCAGGTTACGCTCATTCTCTAGCACTGACTGATGAGGGCCTGCTGTATGCATGGGGTGCAAACACTTACGGCCAGCTGGGCACCGGCAACAAGAGCAACCAGCTCAGCCCTGTTCAGGTCATGACTGAGAAAGAAAGGTAATGGAGTTTGAGAATAAATCTTTTATTTTTTTTATTACCTACCTACAGTACTCACTGTCTCCCAAAACAGTATCGCTATTTTTAAAGGGATAGTCCACCCAAAAATGAAAATAATTCTGTCATTATATACTCGCCCTCAAGTTGTTCTAAACCTGTATGAATTTCTTTCTTCTGTTCAACACAAAAGAAGATATTTTGAAGAATGTTGGTAACCAGACAGTTGATGGACCCCATGGACTTCCATAGTATGGAAAAAACTAAGACAAAAGCGCAAAGCAAAATGAATACAACTAAAATAAAAACTCATTTAAATGATTAGTAAATAATATAAAAGTATATTTAATATTTAAAATTATACTAAAATAGCACTTCTTTAATCCAATGAACTGCCTGTAATATATAGTGTAGAATCCTAACCTACATGGATCCTATGACTGATTTTGGAACAGCAACTCCCTCCTAATAGTTTCTCCTGCACATCACACACATGCTTATGTTTGATTTCAGAAGAGTTTGGCCCTAGCATGTTGCTAAGCGAGCAATCAGAGTTATTAAATAATATCCTGATATGGCTCTCCTGATTTTGAAGTCCAAAAAAGTGCATCCATCCATCATAAAAGTAATCCATACCATACGACTCCATATTTAAAACTTAATAAACTTAAGTAACTAGCTTCTGGCAGATGACTCACTCAAGCCGACTTGGGCCAAAGAGCTCACAGTAAAGAGCTCATGTTGGTGAAAGCTGCATGATGTTGACATTTGCATTCAGTCAGCGCCATTGTTGGTCCGAATTGTTGCATCCCAGGGAGATTTCCTGTTCGTCTGGTGGGAACTTCCTGAAAGTCATCCTGTTTTGAGTGTAGTATGAGGATCAGCTCTCTCGTACCCTCTCTGTGGGGTCACTGCAGTTATCTCTGCTAATAATACTTTGCAGAATATGCATAATAATGGAACTAACAACCCAGTAATCTCTACTGTTGGGACAATAAGACTCGTATAAGAATCTGACTGATGTCTCCCTCCCCTTCTCTTGGTTCTTTCCCCTCTGTGCCCTCTCCTCCTGCATGTATCCTTCCTCGTGTCCCTGCTCTCCTCCACGTTGGCCTTCTCCATTGCTTCCTGCTTTTTGACTCCGCCTCCTCCCTGCACCAGGATTGTGGAGATCGCCGCCTGTCACTCCACACACACCTCTGCAGCGAAGACCCAGAGCGGTCAGGTGTACATGTGGGGGCAGTGCCGCGGACAGCCCATCGTGCTGCCACACCTCACACACTTCACCAGCACGGACGACGTCTTCGCCTGCTTCGCCACGCCCTCTGTCATGTGGCGGCTGCTTGCCATGGGTGAGTTTGTGCCGGTGTTCTGACGATTTGTGCTGCCTTGTCGAAAAATGCTACCGTAGTGCGAATCGATCACAGAATGTCGATTAATATTATGTGAAATACAATTATAATACAATTCTAAGTTATGAGTAGCTACTGTATACTGTAGACTACTGTTTTTATTTTTTAAACGGTGTGAAAAGTAAAAATTATCATCAAATATTGACTTGTCAAAGCACACCTTTCCTTAGTAACTGAAACTTTCAATTATTCTTCTTCAGCTGGCTGACCGTACAAATATTCATATGGTAGTTATCATTTTTTAAAGGGAAATTACTTTATAACACATGAAAATGTACCTTTTGTTAAAAAAAAACTGAGTCTGCACATGCGCATAACCAGTAAGTAGCAAATCTCGATGGGTAGCATGAATCGTCAGAACACCGGCATCCATCATCGCTTCGGCTGCTTTGTTGTTTGAATCTTAATGCATTCATATACTGATGTGCATTAGAACCGATTCTACAGTCTCTGCTGTTACATGACTGTGCTGTATTTGTTATCAGAGCATGATGATTTCCTGACTGTGGCCCAGTCGCTTAAAAAAGAGTTTGACAATCCAGAGACCTCTGACCTCAAATTCAGCATCGACGGGAAGTACATCCATGTCCATAAAGCTGTTCTCAAAATCAGGTGATTACCTCACTTCAGTGTCATGACTAATAATTGGTATATTCAAGAGCTTAATGATCACTTCCTCCTCTTTAATCCTTTAATCTCTGACTCGTTTCAGGTGTGAGCACTTCAGATCAATGTTTCAGTCACACTGGAATGAGGATATGAAGGAGGTGATCGAGATCGACCAGTTCTCGTACCCAGTGTACCGCTCTTTCCTGGAGTTCCTCTACACTGACAGTGTGGATCTTCCTCCTGAGGATGCCATCGGTGGGTTCTGCTCCATTTTCACACCTGGTTTACAGAAAAATACTCATAGATGAGTAAAAGAAACCAATAACCACTCTTTTTGGGGATTTTTTTTAACACCCCTTTAAATGGACCAATACTAAACCAGGTGGAAAAAACATGGCCTTACTGTGGACTCATCTCATGTTGGTCCATTTTTGCTGTCAAGTTGCCATTCACACTATTGTTTTTTTGGAATATAAATCACTAGAATTTTATATACCGGTAAATTAATGATGACATAATGATTCTTGTAGTAGTAGCAGTAGTAGTAATAATAATACTTAATTATTATTATTAGTAGTAGTAGTAGCAGCAGCAATAGTAGTATTTCTTTATAATAATATAATTATTATTTACAATAACAATAATACATCAATAATAATTAGCTAATAATAATAACTGATAATTATGCACTATTGTTATTAATGTGTTGTAAGTGATTATTATATTGTACATAATAATAATCATATTAACTAATGTGTTAATCATAATTTATGTATTATGCATTTTAAACATTTATTATTTTAACATTGTTTTTGTAAATAATTATTATATTATTGTAAATAGTAATGATAATAATTATAACTGGTTTTGTTCTTTATTATTAAAAATGATAAAACCACAATAAAATATTAAAGTCACCATTAAATCAAAATTGACAATTACCGGTACATTTTTTTTTTTTTTACAGAATGTTGCAGTGTTTATTCTAAAAGATTTATCCATGCAAATTATTTCTTTGAAATTCATATGTCCTGACTGCTAACTGGCATTCATTTAGAATCACTCAATTCCTGAAGGATAAATCCAGTCCCGCCCTACATTTGTGTCTTTCCTGAAGCCATTTCACTCGGCCATATATCGCAATAGTGAGGAAAAGACTATCGCCGTTTCATGCCAACTTTAAGTATTAGTAATCTAGTACTGTATGCTTCTGTATATTTTGTATACACTGTAACTTGTAACAATGAAAAATATTTGGAATTTCACTATTGTAAGTCAACCTTACGTTCACAATGCATGTTATAAAACAACGCAGAATTCAGAAAGGGCAAAGCATTTGTTGTAGCCATTAAAAAAAAAAATGAATGGATTTGGCTGTCTGTCACAGGGTTACTGGATCTGGCAACCTCATACTGTGAAAACAGGCTGAAGAAGTTGTGCCAGCATATCATAAAGAGAGGCATCACGGTGGAGAACGCCTTCTCTCTGCTGTCTGCTGCCATCAGATATGATGCTGAGGTAAAACAAAACCATCCTGGAGGCCTGGCTTACTAGAGCACCCGGTTTACTAGACTATTAGCTCTTCTCGGTCTCATTTTATTTGCTAGTTTTTTTGCAATTAATCAAAAAGTACAATATTTTTGTAAGGTAATACAGAACATCAATACTGTAAGCTAATGATAATCATAGTTGGTGATATTGATTGTTCTTGCTCGCTTGTTCAGTCCCTCATAATTAAACATTCATGCTTTCTTTCATATGAAGGATCTAGAGGAGTTCTGTTTTAAATTCTGTGTGAACCACTTGACTGAGGTCACGCAGACAGCTGCGTTCTGGCAGATCGACGGCAACATGCTGAAGGAGTTTATCTGCAGAGCCAGCCACTGTGGAGCCTTCAAAAACTGACTCTGACGTCCACACACACACACACACACACAACCCATCTGTTACTGCAGTCAGTCCTCTTCACAGCTAGTGGGCGCTGTTACAGCAGACGGTCACTGACACAGCGCCCTCTGTTGAGCACGAGAGAAACTCTTTTATGATGGTCAATGTCTGTTTATCTCATTCTCATGTACAACCATTTCACATTAAGGTTCTGCACAACTTTTTGGGAAAGACGTGTTGCCTGCTACTAGTAACAAATTCTAGTGCCTCTCATGAGAATAGTGTTTGCATAAAAAAAGTCAGGGTGAGTTTGGGCCAAAAAGAGGCATATTCCACTTAAACATGCACCACTTAAAAACAGACCTTATACTTTTTCACCGAAAATATTGAATAGAAGTCACTTATTAGTTTTTGGTTTCTTGCTGTGATGCAGTGCATTACAGTTTGCTCATTTTTATTATTATTGTATTGCATTGTGTTGTACTGGCTGGGATCTGTAAATGTGCATTATATTGTCCTACAGTCAGCAGACCTTATTGTTATTGCACACTCACTCGTTTTTGTGTAAATGTTATTTGACCAAAAGAATTTCTGCTAGATTCATTATTTTCTGCTTAATTTGAGTCTTAACCTGGGCATAGTTTTTCTTGTCTAACCTATCGGAAACTGTTTGCTATCGCTTAGTTTAGAAACTGTTGGTGCTGTGACTTACAGAAGCAGCATTTACAACAATGACTGTTGCACTTAACCAGTCTGATGTTTAAGATTTGCTAAAAATATAAAAAGTATTATACATAGTTGCACTGGTAGTTTCCTTTACAGGAGCTGCTCATATAGGATCACTAGAGGGTTTGTATCAATTTTTGTTATAGGTGTGAAACACTTATATGACATAATACTAATGCCTGTGGTAATTTTGTTTGTTACATATTAACCAACTGTATTTTTGTTTTTCACATGTACATACTGTACAGTTTTTGCATTAGTTTTGTAAATTAATCTGTGCGCATCACGTGTGCCACAGTCTCTCTTGTAAGTTATAAAACCTGAACCTTTAAAGTAAAATAAAGCTTTTCTTATAAGTTGCATTTGTTTTTTTTAATTGTGTGTTTAAATGTATGGGAGCATATTTATGTATTGTAGATATATTTGTTAAGATCTTAAAACTTGTAATATGAAAACATTACGGTTTAATTGGAGTGATTTATTATTAGAATTACACATTTATTTATTTTTTAGAATAAATTATATATATTTTCATTTTATTATTTTAATGTGATATAAATTATACTAATTATAGTTCTGAAAGGCATCCTGTAGTTTCATTTCTCATTAAATGAAATGAAATGTTAATTTCCAGAAGAGTTAAATCCTTGTTTGTGTTAAAGAAAGTAATGACTGATACTCATTCTATGAAATGATTAATTGTTCAGAAATGATGTAGATGCACAAACCTAATTACCAGTTTGACTAGTTCAGCTACACCAATTAGCGGGTGTGTGAAATCCAACATATACAGTCATGCATTCTTATATTTTCAATAGAAAGATGGAGTGACTCAGTGCCACTGTTACGGGATGTCATCAGTGAAACAGTGAGTCTGATGTGGAAGAGTCTGACCGGCCTGTCCAGATCTGAACCCCATTGAAGACTTTTGGAGAAACAAGGCTCCATCATCACCTAACATCACTGATGCTCTTGTGACTGAATTGGAGGAAATCCCTGCATCCATGATGTTCCAGTATCTTGCAGATGACTGCGTGCAAGCTGTTAGATAAGCTAAGACCATCTTCATATTAATGTCAATGTTTGTGAAATATGTACTTCGGACACATTGGGTGTGTTGTCTTTGAGTCTCCACATACATGATCTCTGGGAAATAGAAACAGGCGAGATGCCCCGCCCACCAGTGACGTCAGAGCAAATAGGAAGATGACAGCATGAAGGCGGACGGGCTGTTGTCGTTTGGGACAGTTTAGTCAATGACAGGTGAATGTTGATTGCGATTGAATGGCAGCATCGGACAGTCGGTGGTCTTGTCGGGATGGCGAGGGGAACAGATCTATTCCAAGTGTGAGGGAGACCGGAGTACAGACGGATGCCAAAGTACAAGGTTAGATTAACGTGTCAATATCTTCCTGTGCTAACCAGATCCCAGTGGATATATAACTTTAAACTGCTGTGTGTTGCCAATGCTGTTTCATTTCTTCTTTCAATAGGCTATGTTCTTTAATTTTTGCCATTGACACATTTACATTTTGTCCTTGCCCTGACTGGTAGGCTATTATCTGTTTTATATTTCCTCGTTTAATGTCCATGTCAGCAACTTCATTTTAAGAGCAGTCTGGTAACATAAAACCTGTTCTAATTCGAATTCTGAATCAGATTCTATACTAACAATTTGCGATAAATACAAAGCAGATTATTTTGTTTGTGTTCCAGTGCAGAACCGAAATGTTTCTTTTCCTCTTTTTGACACAACTAAAGAAAAAAACAGACTACATCAATAATAAATATGCATTGAGAATGTTTTAATAATAATAATCTAGCCTACAATAAAAAATATTGCTTATTAGAGATAAAATGATACCAGTTTCGGATAAATATAATGGCATTACTAGGCTACTACTACTAGCCTACTAATAATGATAAAAACAATAATATTAAAATATTCATATTTTGCTCGTCTAATGATTTTGTGCTTATTGTGTCAAATAGTGCAAATGAAACAAGTGGTTCCACATTTTGGTTATCCGACACTTATAGACATAAAAATAATAAATATTGATTGTATGAAACAATATTGTCTGATCTCATATTATGCCTGTCATGCAGAGTTGTTTTGCCTTCTAAAGGGTCACAAATGTTTGTTTGTTTTTTAATTGAGTTTAAAATGTACACTGTGTTCTTCTAACCAATTATCAGTCTATCTCTTACCCGTCCCTCCCATAACAGTGAAGTAGTTATTTTAGCAAATGTTTTTAGTTTTGTCACTGGTCTTTTTCACATGACTCCTTTTCTCTGCTTCAGGTCAGGAACCTCGACTGTCCAAAGCCAACCTCTTCACATTGTTGAGTCTATGGATGGAACTTTTCCCCAAGAAAGAAGCATGTCAGCGAGACAATTATCCCGTAGGCATATTTTAATTTCCTCTAAAGTGATGCAGTGTGTTTCAAAGACAGAGAGCTTACATTTAAAGACATTTGAAATGCATTTAGGAAGGAATTAAGAAGAATTTGTTTCAGGTATCCACCAGTGTAAAATGTTTGATTTGTGTATTTATTTCTGGGAAAAAGCCTTCTATACAGCACTGAGAATTATTATTGGAAAGCTGATTCCCACAGGACCGAGTCCCTGCTGTGCATATAATGACTCGTGCGCTCTGAAGGAGATGTTAATGAACTTCTAGTGTGCATATAGAGGCTGATTCATGAGCTGTATGGATATGAGAGGAAAACACTTACAAGCTGCCTCAGTATCTACTTGTTTTATTTATTTGTGTCTTTCATTAAAAAGCAAGGTGTTGTATTTGCGTCCAGGCTGGAGACAGTGGTCTTGTGGTGGTCCATGAGCGCAGGGTCCTGGGTCTGCATTGCTCCAGTGTGCAGTTGCATGCAGGACAGGTGGCTGTGGTCAAACATGGACCCCGACTGAAGGGATGTGATCTCTACTTCTCCAGAAAACCCTGTTCAACCTGCCTCAAGATGCTCATCAATGGCAAGATTAGAACTGCTCTCTCTCTCTCTCTCTCTCTCTAATATATGTACACATTGACGGTCAATAGTTTGGATTAATTTCGATTTTTTAAATGTTTTTTGCTCACATAGGCTGCATTTAAAAGCTGTAATATTGTTAAATATCTATCTGTAAATTACAGGAACGTCTGTCTGTCTGTTAATCGAATATCTCTCGAACCGTTAGTCCGATGGATTTCAAACTTGACAGGTGACTTGCTACGGGCACGAGTAAGTGCAGTGCTGAGTTTGACGTTGTTTGGATTAGAAATGCAAAAGATATCGTTAAATATATCTGTAAAAGAAGCACACATCGAAGTTGTGGTTTAAAAATAAACATTCTGTCAGCTAAACATTAAGTCAGCTACACTGTTTACTTCTGAAGTAAAAAAAGTAGCGATTCTTTTAAAAAAATGTAGCGATTTTTTTTAAGGTTATACATTTATTACAATGTATTTATACGTTTATGTTACAAACCTTTTAAGTCTAGGGAGAGTAAAGCGTGCAACATTAAAATACTGAATGTGTACTGGAAAAACATCTCACACAAACCAGTCCAATTGAAGTATGTTGAGGATTTATTATAGTGAGAAGCAAGGTGTAAAGAATACCTCAAGATAATTAATTAAATAAGTGTACCATTTAGATACAAATCATAACCAAAGAAAAGGTTCACAAAAGAAAGAGGTAAAGAGAAAAGACCTTGACAGTGCCAAATCAAAGAAAGAAACAAAACCAAAACCAGTCTTGCTAATTATAAACAAAACAATTTATAATCTGCCTAAATTGACATTCATCAAAGAAAACAAAAGATCTTCAGCGTCAGAGACGCCCTACATAAACTGCTCTTACTGCAAAACGAAAAATACAAAAGATGGCACGTGTCGCTAAACTAGTGTTCTATACACAATTGATAACTCAGTGTAGCTCATGTATATCACGTGATATCTCACCTGTTCTTTTCTCTTCCCCGTTAAATAACAGGTTTAACAACCAGACCAACGGCAAATACTCAAGAGAAAAGACGACCCAAATGGGCTTCTAAGTTCTCAAAAAACACAGTTTCTCAAACGTTACATTGGTACAGGGCAAAAATGCGTCACAAACAAATCAAAGTGGAATCTCCCGCTTCCCACACAGGTGCGCTCTTTATAGGCGCATAGTGCGCCCTCATTGGTGGAGCCGCGTTTCATCATCACCGAGCATTTCGATGACTGGCAGATGGATGAACCAATCAGGAAGCCGCATCGTCCTGCTAAGAGTGAAAGTAAAGAGGGGAGAGAAAAAAGGAAACAAGCAACAACAACAGACAAATAATAACATAGGACGTAACAGTTTATTACAATGTACTTATACATTTATTACAGTGTTATTATACATTTATTACAATGTAATTATACATTTATTACAATGTAATTATACATTTATTACAGTGTTATTATACATTTATTACAATGTAATTATACGTTTATTACAATGTAATTATACGTTTATTACAGTGTTATACATTTGTTACATTATTTTGTTACATTATTCTTTTTGAAAAAGTAGTGATTCTTTTTGAAAAAGTAGTGATTCTTTTTGAAAATGTAGCGATTCTTTTTTAAAAAGTAGCGATTCTTTATGAAAAAGTAGCGATTCTTTTACTGTCCTTTTGACAGTAGCGATTCTTTTTGAAAAAAGTAGTGTAAAAAATAATTATACATTTGTTAGTCTTATACATTTATTACAATGTAATTATACGTTTATTACAATGTAATTATACATTTATTACAGTGTTATTATACGTTTATTACGATGTAACTATACATAGTTTAAAAACTATGTATAGAACTATGAAAAAGTAGCTAATCATTTTTGAAAAAGTAGCGATTCTTTTTTGGAAAAAGTATCGATTCACTTGAAAAAGTAGTAATTCATTTTTGAAAAAGTAGCGATTCATTTTTGAAAAAGTAGCGATTTACTTTTGACAAAGTAGCGATTCTTTTTCTAAAAAGTATCGATTCACTTTCGAAAAAGTAGCAATTCTTTTCAAAAAAGTATCGATTCATTTTTTAAAAAGTAGCAATTTAACTGAATTTGTAAGTCAGCTACACTGTTTAATTCTGAATATTATATTTTATTCTGGTGTGCTTAACGTTTGCGTTTTCTCAGAGTTTAGGCTCCTGTGTAATAGTAGCCCAGGCTATTAAGCAACTCAAAAATACCAAACCAACAATTACTAAAAACACACAAAAACTGATTTTGCACGGGCATTGCATTAGTTATTACAATTTAAAATAACTGTTTTCTATTTGATTATATTTTAAAATGTAATTTATTCCTGTGATGTAAAGCTGAATTTTCAGCATCCTGCTGAGTAAACATTTCTTATTATCAATGTTGAAAGCAGTTGTGCTGCTTAATATTTTTTTTGTGGTAACTGTGATACATTTTTTCTATATTCTTTGATGAATAATAGAAGGTTCATAAGAACAACATTTATTTGAAATATTAATCTTCTGTAACATAAATGTCTTTATGGTCACTTCAATCAATTTAATGTATCCTTGTTGAATAAAATTATTAATTTAATCTCACTTACCACAAACTTTTAATAGTAGCTCATCATGGTTTCAGCAGCACAACGGTTTTTAACATCAATAATAGTAATAAATGTTTTTTGAGCAGCAAATCATCATATCTGATGCTGAAAATTCAGCTTTGCATCACAGGAATAAATTTCATCTTAAAAATGTATCCAAATGATATAACATTGTTATTGTAATGACATTTCATAATATTACTGTTTTAATATTTATTTAATTATTATTTAATATATTTAACTGCATTTGTCATCAAATAAATTCAACCTTTCTGAGCATAAGAGACTTCTTTCAAAAACATTAAAAACGTAATTATTCCAAACTTTTGACCACCACCAGCGTATCATATTTTATTTATTAATTTTAAATAGTTTTATATTTGTCTTGCCTTTCATGTCCTTTGTTCAGCTGGTGTGAACAGGATATCTTACTGGCCCGGTGATGCTGAGATGGGCTTGCTGTCAGGTAGACGTGATCCCGCAGACTCCAGTCACCAGGAAGCCATCCTCGACGCCACAGCTGCGGAGCGCCTCAAGTCCAACAGCAGGCCGCACATCTGTGTGCTCCTGCAACCTCTGCACAGCACCATGCTGCAGTTCGTGGACCACACCTCCCAAAACTGCGACTTCCTTGGGAAGATTGCGGCAGACAATCCAACTCTGGATGTTGCGGATGTCTTCAGAAAGGAATGGTGGAAGAACTCAGATGATTTCTTGGAAAAGTTCTTTATAAATGACGAAGAACAGCATATGTATGTGCTGAACAAGATGGGACTGGAGAACTTTTGTGTGGAACCAAATTTTAGCAACTTAAGGCAGCATATGAGGAATCTCATTAGGATTCTCGCGTCTGTGGCCGCTAGTGTTCCGGTTCTACAAGACGAATATGGTTTCTTCACGAGAGAGCCTTTAGGGACGGGTTCTCCAGCTTTACCTCAGGATGTGATACGGCACTGTGTCATACAAGCCCGATTATTGGCGTGTAGAACAGGTGAATTCAGTTTGATTACATTTACTTTTCATTAAGTTGCTCGACTATTTGACAACAAAATGTTCAGCTGTTATCAAAAATGCACAAATCAAAAACAATGCAAAACCTCTTGATTCCCTCCGTAGGAGTCAATAGAATCGCCTCCCAGAATCGACTCCATTTGCTCCATTTCAAAACAGGGTCAGCAATAAAAATATAAGATTGCTGTCATTATTACACACTTAATGTAGGCTATTCATTTTTTTCCCGACACTTAATCTAAAACTGTATACTTTCAGCATGACTCGCCAAATGAGTCCAGTTTAGAGATGACATTACCTTGAAATGACGAGTATCACCATCCTTTCCTAGTTGTTGCCAATACCTAAAGAAAAAATCACAGGATGTCCTTAGAAAAAGAGTAGGGGTGTAACCCCAGCATCCTGGCCAAATTTGCCCATTGGCCTCTGTCCATCATGGCCTCCTAATCATCCCCATATATATCCCCTCCTCACTCTGTCTCCTCTTCACCAATAAGCTGGTGTATGTGGTGTGCGTTCTGGAGCAATATGGATGCCGTTGAATGGATGGAGGCAGATCTGAATGCAAGCTTTTGCTGCTGATGGTAATAAAGGGGCGGAGTTTAGGCGGTCCGGCATACGTCACCAGAGAAGTCTGTCGTTTCACTGGAAGATCCAGTTAATATATTAAAAAAATATGAATGGATGAATCATTCACAATGAGATCGATAAGATGAATTAGATACGTAGCAAAACACATTGCATGAATTTCCATATCATGCTGACTTTAAGCCAGTTGTAGGATGACTTTGTCTGAACTTAAAGGGATACTCCACTTTTTTTGGAAATAGTCTCATTTTACAACTCCCCCAGAATTAAACTGTTGAGTTTTACCGTTTTTGAATCCATTCAGCCGATCTCCGGTTCTGGCGGTACCACTTTTAGCATAGCTTAGCATACATCATTGAAGTGGACAAGACCATTAGCATTTCTAAAAAAAAAAATGACCAAAGAGTTTCGACATTTTTCCTATTTAAAACTTGACTCTTCTGTAGTTACATCGTGCACTAAGACCGACGGAAAATGTAAAGTTGCGATTTTTTAGGCTGATATGGCTAGGAACTATACTCTCATTCCTGCGTAATAATCAAGAAACTTTACTGCCGTACCATGAGAGCAGCAGGCGTAATGATATGACGCAGCGCCTGAAAATAGTTCCGTTGTGTTGACGGAAGGTAGCCTATTTTCAGGCGCTGCGTCATATCATTACGCCTGCTGCTCTCATGGTACGGCATTGAAGTTTCTTGATTATTACGCAGGAATGAGAGTATAGTTCCTATCAGCCTAGAAAATCGCAACTTTACATTTTCCGTCGGTCTTAGTGCACGATGTAACTACAGAAGAGTCAAGTTTTAAATAGGAAAAATGTCGAAACTCTTTGGTCATTTGTTTTTTTAGAAATGCTAATGGTCTTGTCCACTTCAATGATGTATGCTAAGCTATGCTAAAAGTGGTACCGCCAGAACCGGAGATCGGCTGAATGGATTCAAAAACGGTAAAACTCAACAGTTTAATTCTGGGGGAGTTGTAAAATGAGACTATTTCCAAAAAAAGTGGAGTATCCCTTTAATGATGATTTAGGAATTTACAAAATGCCAAGTCAGTTACCAACACGTTGTAAATAAAGTGCTGAAGTTAGCCATTGCTCTGTGAAGGATTGAGGGTGACGGCTAATATTAATATTTTTAAACAAATTTTGAAATGTTGATCAAATAAGTTCTTGATCAAACAGAATGAAATGCTTTAAAGTGATACAGACCAACTAATACCAAAAAAACTTCACTGCATTTGTTAGTTCATTGCTAATACTGTTGATTTCCTGCCAAAATGATGCCACTTCCTGCAGGAGGATGTCAGGATGCAAAGTTGAATCGAGGACATGGTTAAACTGTTTCACCTTTATTTATTTTTGTGTAGAGGATCCTAAAATGGGAGTTGGTGCAGTTATCTGGGCAGAGGGAAAACAGGTAAGCTAAAAAACACAATTGACTTTATGATTGTATGTATTTTAATAAACACCTCTCCGCTTGCAGTCACAATGTGATGGCACGGGTCGGCTTTACCTAGTGGGCTGTGGATACAACGCCTATCCAGCGGGCTCACAATACGCAGAGTACCCTCAGATGGATCACAAGCAGAAAGAGAGACAGAACAGGAAGTACCGATACATCCTCCATGCGGAGCAGAACGCGCTCACATTCAGGTGAGGCTCATGGGAAGAAGCTGTCAGAAGAAATGTTGGCAACAAGAAAAAGAGGTGCAGTCACTTTTACGAAATCCAGTCGTTCCAATATGGTTTCACAGATTGCGCTCATTTTCAAATTTCAACAGAAAGCTGCTCGATTTAATCGACTTCCGTGCTTCTACACTATTGACAGAGGACAATAGACCTTTTTTTGCACAGGATATTTCACTAATCTGAACGCACCTTGATTGGTTGAGATGTGCTTTTATTATTTTGAATGCACTGAATATCAAGCCATTCAGATGTTCAAACCCGTTCGTGATTTGTTCATTTCTTCAGCCTCCCACCTTCCCTTTTTATTTCCCTCCGATCTGCAGAAGCACAGAGATAAAGGAAGAGGAGAACACAATGATGTTTGTGACCAAATGCCCGTGTGACGAGTGTGTTCCTCTGATTGGCTGTGCTGGAATAAAGCAGATCTACACTACAGACCAGGACAGCAACAAAGTCAAACACGACATCTCCTACCTCAGGTTCGACAAACTCAACGGCGTCCAGAAGTTCATTGTAAGTGCTGATGAGATTTTTTTTTTATTATTATGATAAATAACTATTATACTTGAAAATGCACAAAAAAAACTGCTCTTTTTTTTTTACTTAATATTTTTTTTCAGTGGCAACAGAAATCTGCAAGACATACTTCAGAACAAGCTGCTCTGCCTACAGCAAGTAAGTGTTTTGGGCCGTTTACACGACACCGTTTTCAACTAAAAACAGAAAGCGTATGCGTTTTGGCCGTTCATTTACACGACAGCTGCGTTTTGGTGGCCTGAAAACACAAACTTTTGAAAACTATACCGTTATCGTCTGTGTGAACTACAAAAACGTGAATTTGTGAAAAAGGAGACATGCGCTTGCTATTACAGTTTTTCTCGATTGCTTAAACACATTTCTTGAAACTATGCCTCGTATTCTCAAAACAGTAAACACAAATCCATAACGTCTCACCCAATTCCCCAAACATCCTATTTTCAGGTCAAAATGAAGCTCTACACTCAAAACCATCCACTCTTGCTGAAAAACCAAACTTTGCCCTCAGACAGCACACACAAGCCCTCAAAAATACACACACTACAACACAGTCTTACACACTGGTGCTATAAATTCAAAACAACATTTCCAAAACTGGTAAGTCATGTTGCTTGTGGTCCTATATGATAAACAAGTCTAAGAATGTTCCACATATGGTTAAAATACCATCATTGGCCTAGAAAGATAACATTCTGGGAGTCAAGACTATAAAGGAGAAAGGATGCCCTCCCTTCACTGTCACACTCTGCAGCCACTCTGTGTGACTGTACGACTGCTGGCCTTTTCTTGCAAGAACATAAACCTCATCAAAGACAATTGGAAATGTTTGTCTCTTATTCAGTGATAGAAATTTGTTTCCCACCACACCTCCCTAAAGGTTCTGATGATGGAGGCGACGGTGGATCGACTCAATTTTGGCTGTACTCGTTGCCCAGCCTCCCTCATAGTCATACCATGGACAATACATGGCCAACTAAAGTGGCTTGAATTTCATCCGAGACTGCTTGTCCTCTTGCCCTTGCCATTCCTCCTCCTCCTCTTCCTCCGCCTCTTCCTCATCCTCTTCCTCCTCCTATTCCTCCTCCTCCTATTCCTCCTCCTCCTCCTCTTCCTCCTCCTCCTCCTCCTCTTCCTCTCCCTCCTCCTCCTCTCCCTCCTCCTCCTCTCCCTCCCCCTCCACGACCTATTGCTTAATTTCTCTGTGGATCCATTGTTCCAAAACTCAGTAAACTGATTTTTATCTTTTATAAAAGATTCTACAACCTTTTATCTATCTATTGAAGGATCTGACTGATGTGTGTTCAATTTTGACTCTTAGTGTTTTTACCTGGGTAATTGTGTGCTAACTGAGCTAAAGCTGAGCTGACTTGAGTGAACAATTTTGAATGCTAGTGCTTTCTAAATGACCACGTGGTGTAGGCAATGAGAAATGAAGGGATTTGTGTGTAGAGTTTTGCTATGACAGTTCAACAAATCTGACTAATGTGTCAAAACAGGGGAATAGTGTTCATAGTTCAGTGAAATGGGTGTGCTTTTTGATAAATGGCATTATGGTTTTGAAATTTTAGTTCAAAAGCCTGGTTATAGTGTTTAAGCAATCGAGAAAAACTGTAATGTTCAGTCTAAAGGCGCGTAGTGTTTCTTTACGAAGTGACATCGCCAACTACTGGCCTCAAAGCAGAATACATCGATTTTAGTTATTTTCGTGGATCCGTGTGAATGGGGATCTTTTTGACAACGTTGTCCTCTGTACGCGAAACTTTGCAAAAATGTAAAGGAAAAACGTTTCCGTTTTTAGTACATCATTGCAAGGTCTCTCGCTCTCTCCCCGTGCTACACGGTTTGGCGCTGACGCACATACATTAGGCTATGTTCTGTCTCGCATGCGCAGCTCTAGATTCTAGGAGATTTGAACTAATTAACGTGTCGTGTTGCTGTTGTATCAGTCAGATCAGCGTAGCACTCAATAATCGGGACAAGAGAGGTCCCGATCGGGACAAATAAATTAGGCCCAAAAATCGGGACGTCCCGGCTAATTCGGGACAGTTGGCAACCCTACCATGAATTCAAAATTGACCATACTTTGTTTGCCTAAATTGATCGTTTTGTGGTGAACAATTCATCCATGCAAGTCAATCCACACAAAAATTTTTGAAATTTTTGAAATATGAAATTTCCCCTCCCCTCTTCATTGGAGGACCTTCCCTGATGACGTAGGTTTGACGGTTTGGGTGTCTGCTTAACATCCGTAACCACGCCCCTTCAACTGACAGTAGACAGGCTGAATGAAAACACCTACTTTTCTAGATCCAATCAGGTGCTAGTTGGAAAAAAAGCCACGCCCACTATTTTGCCTCATTTAGTATTCCGTTTCTCTCGGAAATACGTCACAACACTGGAGAAAAGTCGTTTGCAACTTCCGGTTCACTTATTATCAAATTGTCTCTCTAAATGGATAGGCAAAAGGTGATATGGCAGCTACTTTACCAAATGCAGTTCAGTATTGTTGGTAATTGTCATATGTCTGTGTACTTTTTTAACCAAGACCAACAATTTAGGTTAAAATGTGTTAGTAAAAGTGTTTTTTAGACCCAGTGACTGGTCAGTTTTCACCATTTTTTTTATAACTGTAGTTTATTAAATTAACTTTGAAGTACCTAATATTCAAATATTGTATCATATTTAATGTAGTTTCTCAAATAAGTTCCTAAAACCTGCATGCATAATAATTACATGGAATATACCCTGAATGTGTTTTTTTTTTTTTTGCAGATGGCAGCATGAAACGAAGAGACAAGGAACCCCATTTTCAGTGCAACAAGAGACTGCGATCATAGAAAACATTTCGAAAGCTGCTCTCTTGTCTGTATGGCGGCAACAGATGATGTTAAAGGAATAGTTCACTTCAAAATGAAAATTCTGTCATCATTTACTCCCCCTCAAGTATGAAATCAGTATGAGTTTCTTTCTTCTGCTGAACACAAAAGAAGATATTTTGAAGAAAGTCGGTAACCAGACAGTTGGACCCCATTGACTTTCAGTAGGGGAAAAAAATACTATGGAAGTCAATGGTGTCCTTCAACTGTTTGGTTACCGAATTTTCATTTCAAGTGAACTATTCCTTTTAAACAAACATCAATAATACATCACAAACTGTTTCAGTTCCTGGTGATAATGAACATTTAACCTGCCATACTCATGCTGAATGATACAAACAAGCATTATCTTATAATTACAATACAGCTAGTTTTATTAGTTTAATGGGACAGCCCGTTAAAGAACAATTGAATTATATGCATTTTAGAAACTGGGTTGTATGGTTTTTAAAATTGCACACAACACTATGGTTTATAAATTTGTTAAATAGAAAGGACAAGAATAACTGTGAATAAATGCATCAAATGTATTTATAAAAATCAAGATTTGTTCTTAATTTATAGTGTACGGATTTACACAATCTGAGCTTTTTTTCTTTTAAAAAGGAGTCAGTGATACTGCCAGTGCTTCAGTTGTTCTTTATTGATATGGTACTATTCAGATGGAAACTGCAAATGTATGTGTAGTAGGAAAAAAATAATTCAAATTTTAAACTGTCTGTCAATGTAAATTCTGACAAATATGTTCAATAAATTTGGCTCAGATGGATATTTCAAATTTGAAACTTGTTGCCTAGAGTCCAAATGAATTTGCTTCACACTTTGAGTGATGGTCCAAACCACCTAAACATATTTTATTCATCACATAAAACTAAAGATTGTAAAAAAAATAATAATAATAATTACTGAAATCAACTGTAGAGGAAAAAAAGAATGAAATTTAATGAATTTTCTTCAACAGCATAACTCAAATATAGTGAGTTAAAGAGGTTCATTGCTTAATCAAGCTAAATATGCTCAATGAGAACATATTAAAAACAAAAAGAAATTAAGCTCCCCCTTCCAAAATTTCTTCTTCTCAAAAAAATAAAAAGTAAATTAACAACTCAAGAACAAAAGGCACCTGTTTTGTACATTTGCGTCCTCATTTCATCTCGTTTTTCAGCTATGCAACAATCTACTTCTGTCAAAATCATCAAAGACAGCTGAATTATGGGTTATAGCACAAAATACATACTACAGTAAAAGGAATACTATAGTATAGAAATGAATATTACACTACAGCTGCACGACAGTATAAGAAGTACTTTAGTCTGATGTACTAAAGTTAACAAATTCAATAGCACTAAGGACACTATAGTATAGAGCATACGATAGTAATGCCGAAGCACTATAGATTTACCTCACTGATCTACATGAAATCTACCAGTTGGAATATACACTTAGTGCCAAAATTGATTCTTCTAAAATGGCAACCACCTTAAGAGCAAAATCAGCTTTAGGTAAACATCAAAATAAAAATATATAAAACAAAACAGCGATGCTTTCCGGCCTGGCAGCAACTCAAAATGTACATGAAGACCCACATGCTCTTCCTGTTTCAGCTCAGATGAACAATAATTAAAATACTGATAAATGAATTCATCCTTCTAGATAATTCTTATAAAACACAAACAGAATAAAGAGAACAGGGAGGAAATGATCAGGTTTGTAGTGTTCTGAACAAAAGCACAGGCTAATCAAATAAAAGCTGATGCCCGAGAAAAGACGACGGAACGGAGGAATGCAAGAATGAAGATTAGTGCAGTTGCAAGATATCAAGAGAGCTCGTAACTGATCGTTTAGGAATTTCAGCTCTTTTCCGGCAACAATCTCTTCCTGCTGATGCCAGGGAGAGTGTGGAGTGTC